AAGAACATATATGATTTCATAGGTGTGATTCTTGTCGTATTTCTTCCAGATTCCGAGGCTGAACGTAAATTGGTCAATAATAGGAGAGGTCGCAAAGTTATGGGGCTTAAGTTCAATTCAGTATTAGTGCAGTAATATGTGCTACCAGAATAACAGACGTAATCCAGTACTATGAATTGGCAATTATATGACTAACTCATCCACAAATGCATACATCGGAGTCACATCATCGTCTATACTGACTCATCCTACGTATTAGGCAGCAACGTTCATTTGGAGCATGGTAGTAGAGTGTATCCTCGGTGGTGAGAGACTGATATATTTAGAACAAAAAACTAGAGGATACATATAGTGACCGTACCTACATGACTATGACATAAGTTATCGATTGAGCGTTGCCCGATTTGTTTTTCCTGACCTTCTTCAAGTGTTTGACAATTAATGGGAGCCTTCTAAGTCACATGTTTATCTTCAGTGATCGCGCGGTTGGGAAACAATGCCTCTGCAGAGTAACAACTAGATCGGTTCCAACGTTACCCACCAAACTAAAGCAAACTGAGGCCTTGATTAAAAAACTTCAACAGGCGCCTTTATTGCAACGTCAGGTAGAGAGTTCTAAGATTTACTGATTCAAACGGTAGAAAATTGCGTGAAATATCGTTTGAGCTTGCTCGTGTTTCACCTTGAGTGAGTGCTTTTGCGAATGCAGTCTGTTACTAAAATAGATCATTGATTTGTTTTGACTGAAGTGAATTATAAGCGACATGATCATGGCCCTCATAGCTTCCTGTACTGCTTTAGCTGGATACTCAGAGCTACTGAAAGAAATTAGTGTGGGCTCCAAACTAAGGTTTGAACTGAAGAATAGCTTTCTAGGTGGGTTAGATAAGCGCCCTTGGACGATCGAAACCAAAACAATGTGATTGGGTAAAATGACGGTTTGATAATTCATCATAAATTTAAATTTACATTGTTACCTAAACAAATATGACCAACCAGGTATCCAACCAATAATTGTTCAGTTAATCAAATCAAGTTACAATAAATAAGGAAGTTGATAAAGGATGTGAGAAAAATTACCAATCACAACAAATAAATGCTATTCTATCTTGTCTGGTTAGATCGCGCACAGATTCGTTCCAAATACAATATTTGGTTGCTTTATAACACAGAGTGTTTCCAACTCTTGAACAGTGCCTCAATTTACGATCACAATGCGCAATTCTAGTCAACACACGCAACACAATCAAAGGGAGGTACAAACCGATATGGCTGCCGCCAAGACTAAGTATCAAGTAAAACAACATGAATGCAGTGCAGGAAGGAACATGGAAACTTAGTGAAGGCGTAAGAAAAATAAAAACTATGACAAAGTACAAATGTTATAAACACAAATGGAATGAAAAAGACTGACAAAAGTGTACAACTAAAGGATTCAATAAGAATAAACTGCAAGTGTATACATGGAGGGATTTTTTCATACAAAGCATTCAAAATGGATCTTAAAATTAGTATGGTCCATCTTTAATGTGATTCCCTTTTTTGCTGCACTTTTCTGATGCGTCTCGAGAGAGTAATATGCTTCTCAAGGTAAGGAAACGCAATACGGGGGTTTTAACAGATGAACTATTGAGTAAATACTGGAAATGCTCCTGGATAGTTTACGGAGTCAGGCTGCCTAATTTTCTAGAGGGAAGGCAAACAGTCAACAAGCTTCAATGACCACAGAATTTCAGCCCAATGAGGCACAGGGTGAATCACAAAGAGTTGTGCCCAGGTTATTTACAGTGGCGAAAAGTACAGCATTTACTCACTCCAAAGTGCGAGGCGAATAGAATGTTTGCGATTCCCACTAGCATTTTGTATTTGCTGGTACTTAAGAAAAACTTCTCTGGTGGTCTGATAGTGTATCCTGTGTAGGGCCACACTAAAAATTTACATATTGTCTGGGTCACGCTACTCCCGCCAAAGTTTAAGATCATCAGGGCCGTAACAGAGTTTGAACATCTGGAGTGTAAGCTAGGTCACCTGAGGGCAATGAGAAGAGGAGTTATACAAGAAATGAATCGTATAGCAGCGTTCGAACTTCCACTTACTTGATTTGAGATTTATATTGTCAAACATCCACAAAAAGTCTAAGACTTCAGTAATTTACTCTAGCGAGTACCTTGGGTAAATCAAGGGGGGTCGATAAAGATAGGAAGATTAAGTTTCGGTGAGAAAGTCTAGTTATTCCAGTCAGCCAACAGTTTTGTGTCATATGATCCACTTAAGGGCCAATTATGTTATAAATTGCAAAGCACAAGGTTATCATAATAGCTGTTACTTATTTTCAAACGACGATAAGTTTTTGATAAGACGCTCCAAGAGAGATTTATTATGAACGAAATGGAGTTGGCTGCCGCCCGAAGTCACGGATGGGGAAGTGAGATTTCAAGGAATGCAACTTTTTGGATGCGATGGAATACGTAAAAAGGGGGGCGGAGTGGTGATATACATTACTTACTTACTTACGCCTGTTACTCCTCACGAAGGAGCACAGGTCGCTCAGAAGCATTCTCCATCCAACCCTGTCATGGGCAATCCTTTCCAGATCTTTCCAGTTGTTATTCACCCTTTTCGTATCTGCCTCTATTTCCCGAAGTAATGTGTTCTTTGGCCTTCCTCTTTCCTGCTTCCCTTCAGGATCCCAAGTTAGGGCTTGTCTTTTGATGCAGTTTGATGATTTGCGTAATGTATGTCCTATCCATTTCCATCGTCTTTTCTTAATTTCCTCTTCATCTGGAAGCTGGTTTGTTCTCTCCCACAGAAGGCTTTTGCTGATGGTATCTGGCCGATGGGTGTTGAGTATCTTGCCCAGATAACTATTTGTAATTACTTGTACCTTCTTGATGGTGGTTGTCGTAGTCCTCTACGTTTCAGCTCCGTACAGTAGAACTGTCTTGACGTTCGTATTGATATACATTAACAGTCATTAATAAACAGTAACACTGCAAAGTACCGTATCAGCTGAGCTTTGAGAATGATAATAGTGTTGCCTCATTGTGAACGGCACAAAGTACTTGATTGGGAGATTATACCGGCTCTCACAGGTTCTGAAGTGGGTGGGGATAACCAATCTATTGTTCAATGCAAAAGTACACAGTGACTGAGTAAAATATGAAAATTATACACTAAATGCATCTTCTTTGCATTTTGCTTTACTTTATCTATTGTCCCTCTGATTTCGTCTTTGTTTTAATCCCTCTCCGATTTCCTTTCTGTTTTCTTAAACTTAATGTTCTGCTACAAGAGCCTCGTCTCCCGACCGGTACAACATGCTACTTATCTCCGTCAGCATAAGTAGCCTACGCCACAGTCCTAACACTCGAGATGATGAGATAATACAGACATGCCTGTGGTTTGGCCAAATATTACCAGCTGGGAACCTCAACACTACGGGGTGGTCCCATTAGAAGCCGTTAGAGCTTTAGGACTGGCTGAACATGTTTGTGGTTCCACGAAATGAGACAGGGACGGAGAACCTTCAAACTTAAATTATTTACTGACAAATGATCAGCTTCTAATTAAGGGTGTCCAAGTACACTCACCAGTAGGAAGTAGTGACCATGATACAGTCACGTTTAGTGTAAAACCGAGAACATTCAAATCAAGTTCCAAGAAAATAAAAACAGAACACTCTCTACCAAATCTCCAAAAAGACGAGTAGGAAAGATCCAGCCCGTTACAGACAAGTTGCATTAATTCAAATACAATCGAAGGTAACGAAAGAACTTATTAATGAACAAATGAGGGAACATACGGATAAAAACTGTGTCGTCAATGAAGTCCTGTTATATAAAACTAGCTCAGTGGCACTGATCCGTGGAGATAACCTAAGCTTTAAAGAAGATTTGCAAAAATAGAAAAATAGGCAGTAGACAGTGATTTAAAACATAACTTGTCGAAATGAGACTTCATGAACATTCTGCTTCACTATTAAAACATAGGTACAACTCCAAGTTGAAGTCCATAATGTCACTTCATCGCTTCACTTTAGAAGAAACATAAATCTCTTAGACCATCTACAGAGACAAGGAACCAAGTGGGTTATAAGTCTAAAACATAAATCACACAAGGACAGGCCCAAACACGCTTAATTATTCTCACTAAACTACAAGAGAATAACAGATTACTTGATAATGGTATATAACATTTTAAGTATGCTAAGTCACTCGGACACGAGCATATTATCAGAAATTCACCGTGACGCTACTCGAGACAGCCAGTGAAAACCTGCGCATCAAAGAGAAAAAACCCAGGTACACTCACAATTTTCTCATTAAGAGTTGCTACCATTTGTAATGTTCTTTCGGACGAAATGACCACAGCCTCTTCAGTGGATTGATTCAAGAGGAGTTTCAACAAACACGCGCTTGATGCATGTCTCTTAAATTGCCACAGTTGTCATTACCGCTTATCAGTACTTACTTTTTATCTCTTTTATTATCTCTTCAGTTTCCCCTCTTATTCTTATATTTCGGTCCGCCCACTGTGTTTGGATTACTAATAAACTTTTTCGTTTTTTACTTCTTCAGACAATCATTTTCGGTTACCCTAATGAATCAAATATGGGCTGCGAAAATGCAGTTTTTCGGGAGGTTTGACATACACCTGTCCACTGAAATCTCACTTGAAAGCCTGAAACCAGAACTGAGATTTAAATACTCTGATAGTCTGATTTGAAGCACAAACGAATATGTTGGGTTGTGCACTTTCACGCGCTTCGAATGATGTGATGTGATAATGATCGGTTAATAACCGATTTAGATGAAAATAATTAGAATAAGTATTTTGTCAACACCCACTTCCTATCTCTCTAATTGGCATCTACGTTTATCCTCTTATTATATTTATTTCGTCTTACTACAGATTATCGATTTAGTAAATTATTTGTTGATTGTCAAAAAAATTTTCTACTACCAACAATCGTATTATCAATCTACTTTTCAGCACAATACAAACTTACTAACCTGAGGCAAACTCGTTCGAATACAAGATATACAAATCCATAAATAACTATTACACTGACTAGAATTAGTGCATCCCAGTGACTAGTCTGCAATAAGTTGAACATTACTGGCTGCCCTCAACAATGCCAAAACAACAAGATGCGAGCGCAAATATAACAATCGGTTTATGAACGCTTCTGACAAAGATATTGGATATTAGAACGCACAACACAAGCAAGTCATGTTATTTGTCTTGACGAGCTCTTTCAACAAAACGTTCCTCAGTTAGGCTAAAAATAGTTTCGCGAAATGGTACTAAAGGGGTGGGGGGAAGCATAACCATTTTAAACCTTAAATTGGACGTCACCGGGGATTGTAACACAGCTTGGAAATAACGCTACAAAGTATGCTCAATCAAGGTTATCACATTTTAGCTGAGCTGTTAGTGTATTATCTATTTTCTTTACCTATTTTTCTAATAAAGAACCCTCCTAAAACTGGAAAACATCTCTGGAGTTATTGCCAGCCCATGTGAAAATGATCCACTTAGTTTGTGTTATAATTGCATAACTGAATTTTAGAATGGCTCGGGATTATTTCTGTTCGAAGTGGTTACTATTTTGGAGGAGTTTTTGGTTTTGTATTATCTCTGCCAGATGATTTTCCATCGACAAAACTTCCGGTGAGTAAATGTCTCAGGAGTCGGTTTTTAGAAATCTGAATAGATGTTTGTCTACCCGGTTTACTAACCGTTTACTCACTTTTAATAAACAAATCCCATGTTTCCCTTTCTTATTAACGCCATAGCGAAGTTTGCCCATACGTTCTATGAGTCGATCTCAGCCTATTTGGGGTATATTCCTCCAATCTTTAATCCTTATAACTGAGGACATATATATATATATATATATATATATATATATATATATATATATATATATATACCAGGGAATATATTCCCTAATCAGAATGTTTAGTCAGATATCACGTAAATTTACGGTCTGCGAAAGATTCATGTTTAATCCATTGGTTAAAATACTGAAGTGGTCTTCAACATAAAATCCTGACTTTATTAGTTCCTCGTCAATCCAAGTTGTTTTTTTGAAGGTGTGAGTTTACAATTGACTAAGTGTTTAATTTCATTGGTGCAGTTGGCGGTTGGATACTAGTCATTCACTCTTTGTTTGTTATACAGAGGGTTTTAGTTAACTGAAAGCAAGTTATTTTTTGTTGTGTGTACCGAAATCCTGTCATTTACAGGGTTAATATGGCTGGTGAAACTTACAAGACAATATGGATGAGACTATAATTTATGAAATTGTTTAAGGTATTTGATTTTTTTTTCAAACATCCAAATCCTTCCGGGGAAAGCTTTGATCCTGACAATTTATAGTACCGCAAAGGTAACACATAAATAGCGAGTACACGGAATCTGTGCAACCTCAATTTCTTGAACTGAACTGAAGTTTAAAGTAAAGATCATACATAAAAGTACTTTTATTTTAAAGTAGGTGATGGCGTTGTGGATTTTTTTTACCTGGAGATAGTATTTTCAATCTTGAGTATGTGAATAATATTGTCTTACTTTGTGATGGTACTTATTCCATGCAATTCGCTTTTATTCAGTTGGTTTGGATTTTGTTCACGTCTATATTGATGACCTGTTAATCGCATCATCAAACGTAGATGAACATTATCAACACCTTACTCTATTATTCTAACGCCTTTCGGATAATGGAATAGTAGTCAACCCAGACAAATGTGAATAGGGTAAACCAGAAATAATATTTTTGGGTCACATCATCAGGCAAGCCCGACCGTAGCTGCTACCTTGACGTGGTGGTCGGGCTTGCCTATCGTGATGACCCAACCGAGCTATATTGGCTGGAACACATGACAGGCAGGTCGATTGGAGAACAGTAAGACTAAAAGCAGCAACTCAAGGTCTGAGGGCGAAGTCGTACTGCTGACTGTACAGAGGTGTGACAGCAGTAAGGTGTTTCCCTCGGACAACCAGCATCTGCAGCGATGCTGCCTTCTAACAAGGAAGGAAGGGGTTAGAAAAGGTTGACCCTAAAAATGTCACACCTCATCTTACCCCACGGATTTCCGTCTCCGGCGGTAAAGCCCTTTGAAGAACGGAGCTAACACATTAAAAACCTCCCACAAAAAGGCCGTGCGCGACCGGCCTCAAGCATCTGTCCCTTTGGCTCTGCGGTAACGCACCCAGGTCGCTAAGAGCAACACTAATCCGATTTCCTTTTCAGGTTCCTTAAGAAATACCCTTCCACGGTATGGGCAACCGGGAAGTGATATCAGCCCCCATACCCGTAACAACACACGAGACCAAGTTGGTCACATTCAAATCCTTCCTACACCTCCTAGTAACTCTCTTATCTCCACGACTAACTCTTCTTACGTCCCTTTATCACCTCTCCCCGCTAGTGCAAACGATTCGAGTACGCGGAATTTTATTCCTGGTCTCCTGAAACCACGCTCCAAACTACACGTAGAAGCTTTCAACGTCCGAACACTGTGCCAAATAGGACAACAGACTTTCTTAGCTAGGACTTTAGAAACTCGCTCCATCGATGTGTGCTGCGTCTCCGAAACGCACACACAGGATCCGAGTATTGTCATTCATTTGACCTCACCATGTCAAAGTAACGAACCAACTCGATTTACGCTTCGTGTATCTGGAAGCCCTGATGCTGCTTCCCGCGGCCTCGCTGGCGTAGGTATAGCATTGAGTCCTGAAGCAGAACTAGCTCTCTTAGACTGGGTCCCAGCAGACCGTCGTTTGTGCGCTGTCCGACTAAACGGAACAGTAAGGACTCGGAAAGATAGGGATACTCGTCGTTGCCTCTTCGTCGTCTCTGCCTACTCTTCCACTGACTGCAGCCCAGGTGATGTAAAAGATGGGTTTTACAGAAAGCTTTCCGACCTTCTCCGAAAAGTTAGGCGTTCAGATGTAGTAATAGTGGCTGGTGACTTTAATGCTCAAGTAGGTAAACTAAGCGAAAGGGAAAGACACCTGGGTGGATCTTATGTTGTCGCGGCTCAAAGAACAGATAACGGTGGCCGTCTGTTGCAGCTATGCTCAGATAACCGCCTGTTTCTTGCAAACACTAACTTCAAGTATAAGGAAAAACATCTTTTAACATGGCGACCCCCTAATTCGTCCCAACGCTGGACCCAAATAGGTCACATCGCTATCAGCCACCGATGGAGGGGCTCGATAGAAGACTGTCACTCATTCTGGAGCACATGCGTAGACTCAGATCATGCTCTGGTGTGAGCACGTGTTTGTCTACGTCTTACTGGACGTAGGAAAGATGGTACAAGGAAACCCCTTAGGGTCCTACCTAATCATAGTCAAGCTAAGATTATATTTCAGGAACAACTAGAATAACAGTTAGGCAGCCATGTAAGTGATGCCCACCCTGAGACAGCGTGGAATGACATCCGAAAAGCTGTAGAAACAGCGGTGATGTCTGTAAGTACGGTAAACCATAAGGTTAGGGAGAAACACTGGATCTCAGCAGAAGTACATTAACCTTATAAAGGTTCTACTCGAACACAACTGGTCGAGTGAGAGCTTATGGCGAACTGTTATCAGAACTGATTACCTCAAGTGGTGTTCGTCAGGGCTGTCCATTCTCTCCATTCTTGTTTAACTTTGTTGTTGACGTCCTTTTAGAGATGACACTTTCCTCATCTAAATTTCCAGGAGTTGAACTTCTACCGAGAGATCCACTTGTTGACTTAGAATATGCCGATGACATAGTTCTATTTAGTGAAGACGCTGACAAAATGCAGAGTCTGCTGACCACTCTAAGCAACAATGCAAGCATGTTCGGCATGCGATTTTCTTCCTCGAAATGGAAAATGTCGCTTCAGGATTGGGTTGCGTTGACACCCGAACTAGTGATAGGGAGTGAAGTAGTTGAGCGTGTCAACCGCTTCACTTATCTTGGAAGTCTCATCAGCCCTTGTGGTCTGGTGTGTGACGAAATCTCAGCACGGATACAGAAAGCTCGACTAGCTTTTGCCAACTTGCGTCATTTGTGGCGTAGGCGAGATATCCGTCTATCAACCAAAGGACGTGTTTACTGCGCAGCAGTTCGTTCCGTCCTACTTTATGGCAGTGAAACATGGCCAGTAAGAGTAGAGGATATTCGTATGTTACTAGTATTTGATCATAGGTGTCTTCGAAACATTGCTCGTATATCCTGGGACCACCGAGTAAGCAACTCAGTTGTTAGGAAACGGGTACTAGGTAAGGATGGCAAATCAATTGATGAAGTCGTAAAACTTAATCAGTTGAGATGGCTGGGACATGTGTTGCGCATGCCTGACCACTGACTGCCCCGACGTGCTATGTTTTCTGGTTTAGGAGTAGGTTGGAAGAAATGTAGGTGTGACCAGATCAAAACATAGCACAAATCCATGAAGTCACTGACAAGTGGACTGAGCCATGTTGGTAAGTGTAGACTACTTGGTTGGGGTCCGCGAGACGATAGCAACCGATGGTTAGACACCTTGAATGACATGGCTGAAAATCGTTTGCACTGGCGCAGGTGCATCCACTCTCTGTGTTCTCTCAAACTCTAATCTTCCGAATTCTTCATGTCTCTTATTTTTCCTCTTTGCAAATTTATTCCACTGGATTACACTTCAAATAGCATCATACCCTAATGTTCCCTATCACTACTTATACTTTCACTACCTCTACCACTACGGGATTTGAATCGATAACTGAATCTCTGTGCTAATGTGGTATGGCAACTCGAACTGATGTACGTACGTACGAAGTTCCACGTTGTTACTGACTGACTGACTATTCGATTGGCAATCAATGTTGAAAGATCTTGCATACGCCTTGGACCTTTTTAATGTTAGGCACTTCTGCAAGGCTCACAGGAGCCAGCGCCTACGTCTAATCTTTGTGTTGAGTCGTTGGAATTAGTCGAGAAGTTTGTATATTTAGGTAGTCGTATGGATGCTGGTGGTAGCGTAACTGATGATGTCGATCTGCCTACAGCAAAAGCCGAGAGAGAGACCTGTGTAAGTCTGGGCCATTTTTAGCGCCGCCGTGGTCTTAGTATGGGTGTCAGAGATAGGGTCTGCAACGTACTGATGAGTTTGAATGCGGTCGGAAGTATGCTTATCCCCTTATTGTTATTGGGTAGATTATGTAAGCCCTTTTTAAAGATGGGGACGACGGTCACTTTATTCTTGGGTATTGCAACACCAATCCCCGAGCCCTTCCAAACAACCTTGAGGGAGGTACGTTACCATCCTTTTAAAAGAACCTGGCAACTTGTGGTGCTTTAAAGGTTGGTTCTTTTTGCGGTTCTTCGCCGTGTTTGTATGATCAGTCGTCGCTGGTTAGGTAGGGCAAGATAGTCTGTCTGATGTTGCCGGGGCAAATCAGTATTTGATATATCCTTCATACTCTGCTCATCGTCCAAAATACCACTGGATGTTACTAAGTGGGACTCCATCATTTTCATAGATTTTCTCGATACATTCGTTAACTGTACCAATAATTCGCAACTCCAACCTCAGTATCGTGGACGAAACTGTTCCATTTTTCTGCCGCCTCGCTAACTCGACTATGAGCACCAGTTTTGCAGATGAAAGTTTCTGATCTTGACTCAGTGTAATTGATCAAAATACACTGTTTCTCGGTGATGCATCAATAAAAAATAACTGGCATGTTTTAAATGACTGATTGTCATTGAAACAAAATATCTTAAAAATATATTGAGATTTTATGAATAGTGGTCACACTGAATAATAAACTGCAGTAGAATCTCAACCTAGTTTATATTTATTTGATTCTCATAAGTTGTGAGTTTAGGTTGTAAGTCCCCAACATCTTTTTACTAAGGTTTTCATTTAAGGTCAAATATTCAGTGACTGTTAAATGGTTAAAATACTCAACTCTGCTTCACTTGCTTTGGTCTATACAGATGTTTTATGTTATAGGGTCAGCGTAGTAGCACTGAGCCCAAGTCAACTTATCTAGTTGTTTTGAATGTGTTCTCACTACGGAAGACTAGTCATCAAACGTCCTATTGTTACCCTTAACAATGATCAGAATGTATTATCAAATAACCTAATCTGAGAACTGGGATGTGGGTCAACCTGATCATACTCCGTTTATGTTATTTCGTTTTACACCCAACTTTTATGTCTTTTTTCACTACTGTCCTGATTGTATCTCACTTGCGTTGACATAAATCAAGACAAGACTGAACTGGTTATAAGATATATTCAAAATAGTCAGGAACAACAATTTACAGTAAATAAAGTAGAATTTACATGGAAAACGTATTGTATCCTTTTAATTTGTTCACTAGCGTTTAATGATTAAAAATAAGCCAGTTGGTATATCAGATTTTAGTTAGCACTGAACATTAAGCATTAGTCGTGCTGACATAAACTAAATATGAATCTGATTAATAAGACCTTATTTGTTCCCTACGAGGATAGTTTCGTAACCAGGTTAGGGGAATCAGGCTACGAGGGTACTGAATTGTTTGGCTTTCGTGTAGGGATGGGTAAGCTAATCAGCTCCATAATTCCACTTAGTTCTATCTTTGGTTCAGGCTATTAGCTGGGTCAAATGAGTTAGTTCCTTTCGTCAGTTACAGTCAATTTCATAGTATCCCTAGCCTTTGACAAACAATGATTTAAGGCCGGAACTTAGTAAAGGAGTTCATAATTGTATGAAAAGTTAATAAATTGGTGGTTATGTTTTAAAATCGTTTGTATCAGAAATCAATATCGGATTGCACGTTTTCTTTGTGGCGAATGTAGAACTATCTGTAGAGTATCTAAATATGCTTTGTTAGTGCTATAAAAAGATTTTTTCTTAAACTAAAGTACCTAGTGATGTACATATGTTAGTTTTTCACATATACTTAGGTCAAAAACTTTTGTAATGCTTTTATAGATTGCGAGTGTACATTGGTTCTTATGTATCTCGTTCTTTTCATTTTAGAAGCTCTATTTATCTAAAGAATTTTATCATCCTCATGTAGACTGGGTTACCGGAGAGGTGAGCGTGTACACGGAATTTCCGGTATGGAATCCAGACAAGCACCATATTTGGCATATTCTTCATTATTTAAAACGGTTGTTAACTAGTCCAACAAGTATTATTGTTTCATCACTTGCAGAACAAACTGCTTGTATCAAAAACATGAGAGATGTGAAGTATGCCAATCCAGAAGCAGCTAACGCACTGATTCACCATCCAGAAGAATTTGATACTCGGGCTAAAGGATGTGTCACTAAACTCTCTGTATGGACACAGCCATCACAGGATATCCCTTCATTAAAGTAAGTGATTATACGGGATCTCATATAATTTTGTGCATTGTTTTGATCGGAGATACTTTTACTGACAAACATTGCGTCGGTATTGTTACGTAAATAGTATCTGGTTGTAACTTTACTCAAAACAGCAAAAGATTTTGAAACTAGAGAAAGTTTAAGAACGTTTAGACTTACTCTTCTTGAATTGGCTTTCAATTTTCACATAATATATCTATGTTTTGGCTTCAGTTATCTTTGGGATGTTGTTCCAGTTTTGTCGACTAAATTATTTTATTTCAAACTATTTACCTTAAATACGTCAATTAATATATGGTTTCATAGTATACAATAAGTATTTCGACTACTTTGATCATCGAATACTTTCAATTTCATTTCATCCACTTCGTGCATAAAAACTGATCGTCGCTAAAACTTTGAGGCAGGCAAGTGATGGGGAGCGCAAGTATGACTTTATTAGATCTTCTAATTTGCTTTCTTTTGTTACAATCAAACAGTCATACGAAAAGCCCTTATCTGAATGAAGCACTATAAACTTGGCATAATAAACAAGCAATTAGAAAGCCAAATTAGAATTCGAACTGCCAAGTTCTATAGACACTTCATAACCCTAAAGTGGCATGGTTAAATATAGTTGACAGTCAGTCAGTCAGTCAGTCAGCTACAACGTTGGACCAGGCACATATATGCATCAATCCAAGTTGCCACACCTCATTAGCACAACAAGATAAACACCAGATTCATAGAAGTAGTTACTACAATGGTAGTAATATATAAAAGAAAGATTTTGTATAAGGATACAGTACAGGAAGAAAGAATTAGTTCGTAGAAAGAAAGACATGAGGCGATTTCAATCTCTTAGTTTAAGGGAAGACAGAGAGTGTATACACCTACACCACTGTGATGGATTCTGAGACATGTCACCCATAGTCTCTAATCATTGGTTACGATAGTCACGTGGACCCCAACCAAGTAGTCTGCATTTACCAACATGGCTGAGACTAAAAGTTAGTGACTTCAAGCACTGATGCCACGTTTTAGTTTGGCTGCCCCCAACTTTCTTCCAACCATCCCCTTCACTCGTCATCATTGCGCGTCGTGGTAATCGGTGTTCTGACACACGCAACACGTGGCCCAACCATCTCAGTCGATGAAGATTCACAACCTCATCAACTGATTTACTATCATCCCCTAATACTCTGCGTCAAACCACACTATCACTTACCTGGTGATCCCAGCAGATGCGAGCAACATTTCTAAGGCATCTGTGATCAAATACTAGTAACTTACGAGTATCACCTACTCTTGATGACCACGTTTCACAGCCGTAAAGTAGAACAGAACGAACTGCCGCTCAGTATACTTGTCCATTAATTGATTGACGGATTTCTCGCCTACGCCATAGGTGACGTAAGTTGGCAAAAGCCAAACAAGCTTTTTGAATCCGTGCCGTTATTTTGCCAGTCACCGACCCCTTAGGGATGATCAAACTTCCAAGATAAGTGAAGTTATCGAAGCGTTCGACTACTTCACTCCCTATCCTCAGTTCAGGTGTTGACGCAGGCCAGTCCTGAAGCAACAACTTGCATTTAGAGAAAGAGAAGCGCATCCCAAACATTCTGGCATTGTTGCTCAGTGCTACCAAAAGACTCTGCATTTTGTCAGCTTCTTCACCAAACAGGACTATGTCGTCTGCGTATTCTAAGTCGATAAGTGGACCTCCTGGTAGGAGATCAATACCCGAGAATTCAGTCGACGAGAGCCTTATTTCCATCAGTAGATCTATGATGAAGTTTAACAAAAATGGTGAAAGTGGACAGCCTTGACGGACACCACTTGAGGTTGCAAAAGCAGATGACAGTTCACCATAAGCTGTGAGTCGACTAGTAGTGTTCGAGTAAAGAGCCCTCACAGGGTTTATGTACTTCTGAGGTACGCCTTTCAAAGCCCCCAAATGCCCTGGTACGGCCGAGAGTGGGGAGATTCCGCTCTCCCTCTCGAAATGCTATCACATGGCCATGCGTATATAGCCTCTGCCAGGGAAGTCCTACTCACTGCCTTCTCGTGGCGGGGGTGTTGTTTACAAAAACGAGAGGACGACAAGTGAATGTCCGGCGCTTTAACCGGACCCCAAACCAATGGTGCACATGGGCTCCAGTATCCTAAAGGAACAAATGGTTTACGAACCAATCGTTGGTCACCGGCTACCATGGGACTGCATCTCCTCACGATGCTCCACTGCCTTGTGGGTCAGACGTCCAGGTCGAAGGCTCGGGGTGTGGCCCCCTAAGAAAACCACCTGCTTCGGTTTGGGCACCCGAGCAGTATCACAGCCCTCACACAAATCAATTGAGATTCGTGTGGCGCATATGTACTTGGTGCCTCCCTGTACCTATACTTATGTGTTAAAATAAATAAATAAATAATAAACGCCTTTCAATGACAGACACTGCCACAGCATCTCTCGATCCACAGAGTCAAGTGCTGCTTTTAAGTCAAGGAAGACCACCACTGTCGGACGCCGATAAGTATATCTGTGTTCTAGAACCTGACAAATGGTGAATATGTGGTCTATGCAGCTACGACCAGGTCTGAAGCCGGTCTGATTCTCTCGTATTTGCAGTTCACGAGTCTTAGTTAGGCGTCCGATAATTATCGAGGCTGGTATTTTAGATACTATATTAGTTAAACTAATCCCTCTATGGTTGTCACAGGATGATTTTGACCCTTTCTTATATATTGGGACGATAAGTGATTGTGACCAGTCAGAGGGGATTACGTTCAACTCCCAGATTTTAGCTGAAATTTTAGTCAACCTAATCTCTAACATTTGACCACCATCCTTAGGGACCTATGGATCCGATCCATCTAGACTGGTTGCCCTTCCTCGTTTCAGATCAACTATAGCCTTTTGAGCTTCATGTAGATTCGGGGGACCTGCTTCAGTGTTCCGGAATACCAAAACACCCACCTAAATGTCTTTCTGCTTGCTATAAGCTATCTACTTAGGCATTAAAGTCACCTACTGCGAGTATTATGTCTGAGTGTTCAGCCTCCTGAAGAAGTTCAGAGATCTTTCTGTAAAAGTCATCTTTCACTTCATCCAGGCTACAATCAGTGGGAGCGTAGGCAGAAACGACGAAAAGGCAACGACGTGTGTCCCTATCCTTTCGAGTTATTACGTAAACATTTAGCCGAACAACACGTAAGTGACTTAACGGGGATCCACTATAATAATGCGTTTTCTGTCCTTGTACTTGGTGCTATGCCTACACCTGCCAGTCCACAAGAACTAGCCATCGGGTCTCCTGATACACAGAAGGTGTATCTCGCTGGCTCTCCATTTTGGCGAGGTAAGGTCAAATGAATGACTACACTAGGATCCTGTGTGGATGTTTCGGAGACACAGCATACATCAATGTACGAGATTCTAGAGTTTTAGATAAAGAAATGTGCTAGCCGATTTGACACAGGGTGAGTACGTTGAAGGCTCCAATATGCAGTTTGGAGCGAGGTTTCAGTAGACCTGAGACAGCGTTTTGCGCACTAGAATCGTTGGCCATGGTGACATTTGAAGAGGAAGTCAAAAGGGGAAGTTTCGAGTTAAAAGTCGAGGTAGGAGTAATAAGAGAAATCAAAGAGGGAGATTGATCATGAGTACAGTGATCTTGAGTGCTGTTAGAAGTATAAGGGCGGTTGTCACTTCCCAGTTGCTCACGCCGTGGAAGGGTTCTTTCAGAGGTACATGAGAAGGAAATTGTGTTAGAGGTTGTCTTAGTGACATAAGAGCGTGACCACAGTGCCCAAGGAACAACTGCTTGAGGCCGACTGCAAACAATTTGGTGGGGAGTAGAAAATCTAGTAGAGTCTATAGTTCAGCATGAGAAAGCGATAGCTTAAAAAATAAATAATAATTATATTATCAGTATGGGGGTTTGTGGAGATTGTAATACTTTAACAGTTGAATTCATAAGTCAATCTAAGCTAAGTTGGACTAACGCCGTTGGATGCCGGCTTAGTGGTTTACAGACTGAGCGTTCGCGCGCGGGATCGAGGGTCCCTGTGTTCGATTTCCGTGTGCGATGTCGTGGATGCGCACTACTGCGGAGTCCCATAGTAGAGCGAAAAGGCTGTCCAGTGTCTCCAGGTTTCCATTGGTGGTCTGGTTTAAATTAAATCGTAAATTCAGCTGTTAAAATAATGGTATTATAGACAATTTTCCGGTGATTTCGACACATTCTGGACAGGTTGTTTTAAAATACTTTTTTCTAGTACATTAAAATAATAAAGAGATCAATGTTAGATCATTAAAAACTTGAAAGCATCGAACGCCCGTTTCGTCCTAGTATGAGACTTTGGCCCTACGCATCCACGACTTCGTACTCGGGAATCGAACTCAAGATCTTTAATCTTGCACTCAAACACTTGAACTTTAGATTAATGAGTTGGTATCCAACGGTATTAATAGATTATTTAATCAAATCTTGGGATTCCTGAGATTAGTATAACTCACTTCAGATTGTATTTACATCAAGTCCTAATTTTCCCTTTTTAAGTAAAACAGTGTCATTTAAAAATGTATAAATAATCAGTTGATTGACTTGAACTGTTCAACTTGTGATTTACTACTAAATAATATCATTGTATGCTTGATAACAGGTTCATAAAAAGTTATTCTATGGAGTTCACTGCTCATGAAACTAATTTGATTAAATAAAAATTGTAAATATATTAAAGTTGTAACAGTGTGCTCAGGGAATAGAAGGGTGACTAGTTACATAAAAGTGTATTGTGTTATCTAAAGGAAATCTCTCGAGAATTAACTTTTGTCACTACTCTTATTGTGGTGCGTGCTACTTGTGCTGACAGATATAAGTAGTATGTAGCACCAGTCGGAAGTGGAATGCCTGGCAGCAGCAGATTAAGAAGATTGAATTGAAGAGAACAGAAAAGGAAACAGAGGGCAATTGTAATAACGACAGGATTAAAAGAACTATGAAAGATATAAAAGATAAATGAAGGAAGATGTGCAAGTAATGTATTTAGTGTTTGGTTTTCATATGTACGAAGGCAATCACTTATTTTTCATTAAACAATAAATTGCTTCCCCCCACCTGATTTCACGTTGACTAATAAGATTTTTGTGTTTACTAACCATGAATTTCCATTGTTTTATTTTTTATTAGCCTTTCTGGATGGATGAGTGATAGTATACTGAATGATGCACGAGATTTACTACAGGTAATTGTCAAGATATTTATTAGAAAAATCTTCATTTTCATTGTTACGAAAAATGTAATATTTTTTCAACTTATAAGTTCAGGTCAGTTTCATACGGAACTGGTGTTCATCCTGGCACTGTTTAGCTAGTATATTATCTAAAATCTTTGACGCATCAGGAATTTAAATTATAAGGTTCGGTGTAAATCTCACGAACTACTGGAGTTTCACAAGGAACTTTGAAGGATGAGTTGATAATGAATGCGTCGGATACAAAGCTGGGGTGAACTGCTAGTTCAGCATTGTGGGGATAAAGCAAAAGTCAATATTTCTTATTACACTTTTATAATTACATGTAGGTTATCGTGCGATGTTTCAGCTTCTAGAAGGAATGCTTGAAGAAAAGAATACTGTATCCCGTACACTTACCTTTTAGGTGTTGAAATTTTCAAATATGCGAAGCAACTGCCCGGATAGTTCGAGAGAATTGTTACATAAGTTGCAGTTATCTAGGAAACTTTTGTCTAGTCACTGAGCTGTGAGTGATAAGGTGATGAACACTTTCGATTGACTGCAGGCCATCGACAGAAACCTTAGAAGTGTAACCATGTGAATTTCTACCCACTGAACATCATATCCAGCAGTCCATTATATACCAAAAGTCTTCATCAATAACTGGAAGATTCTTTTGGTGAGTGGTAGCACTACTCATACAATTTCTGGCCATTATGAGTAAGCATCTACAAGTTGTGGTTAGGTAATCCCGTTTATCGGGCTGACGAACATAAACATGTAAGGTGGACTTAATGAATGGACTATAAATCTTATCTTAAGAGGGTACGTTCAAATAGCTTCAACAGTCACAAGAGATTGATACTTAAGAACTGTTTGTTTGAATCGATTAAGGAAATGTTTATTGTGATGTTACACTAATAGTTTACATATCGCAAACTAATTCTCTGTATGTGTTCACAATAAGTTTCCCTATTTGATTGCCTGTGGTCGTTTGCCAAGTACAATATCCATTTCTAGTATTTTTTCGTCTAATTCATTTACTGATTCCAAGGTTATTTTTAAAGTTTACACCAATATTCCTAGATATTTCCACCCTCAAATGTTGGAAGCTGTCAGTTCGAAAACATAAACAAGACTACTGGCTAGAAGTGTTGTTTTTTACGCTCTAAAATAACATACAAAATATTAACACAAAAACATTACGAAATGTCATAAGCTATTGAAGGTAATCGGTTTTTAAGTCACTCATTCTGCAATAATTAAAGACCCCACTATTGGGCTTAATTACAGATCGTCGTATCGGAATGGTCTGGTGATTATTGGCATATTATCTAAAACAACAACCCCTCTTTTTATATTGAAAAGCACTTTGTTCTCATCCGGAAACCACTTTAGTGATATTGGTTTATTATATAACCTGGTTTTCTTTATCATCTTGGGTCCTAATGTGTTTAGTTGACCTTTTATTTACCAAGTATGTGTATGATCAAATCGTTCGAAATGTTGAAGAGAGCAAGAACAAGGATTCTAGCAGAATAGCATAAATTTATTTTATTTCATTCAGTTTTCGTCATCTGCTTACAACTTTGATATTTAAAAACAATTACAAGATGAGTTTAAATTGCTTACATGGAAGTTTAGTTGGAAGTTATTTTGAAGACACGTCAGTATAATATATATATATATATATATATATATATATATATATATATATATATATATATATATATATATATATATATATATATATATATATATATATATAAAGAACATTCTACAACGTTGATTGTAACAAGAGTTCAAAGGTCCAGAAACAAGTGATTACACAATGAGTAAACGCTGTTAGGAATAAAAGAGTAAAGCCCAGTTAATAAAACAGGATTATTAATCTGCAAGACAGACGAAATAAAAAATGATAATGTGGTCAATGTAGGAAAGAGTTCTAAAACTTTGTTAAGAAGCAACAAATATTTATAGCATTTTTGGCAACCATCCTCCGATACTATCTATGATTATAGACATATGTTAGCTATTTAGAAGTCCGTCTTCCTTTCATAGTTAATAAATTAAATTTCATACTAATACATTACTGTGCATATTCACCATTATTGTCTTTGTTTAGTCCAAGGCTTCCTGATGACTACTTCTTGTCATATAACGTAAAAATAATTTCTTGTTACTATGTTTTCTTTGTAAACGTTATATTTTATTTTGTAAGTTGTTTATGTTTCTTAAATGCCATCGCTTTATTTCGTTCAAACTGAAAATAGAGATTCAAAGATTCCAATGATGATGAGGAAAAATTTGTAAGTCAAGGGTTTTCTTGGATCGATCCAAAAAGCATGTCGATATTTTCTAGTGAAACACCCGTTAAAGCGAGTTCTTCGACGTATACATAGAAGTTTACTATTTCTTATAATACGTAGATTCAATTTTGATTTTTTGTAGACAGTTTTGTATATAATGAACGATGCAAATTAAGCTATCAGACTTTTTCTCTCTCTGCCAACGCTATAATTACGATATACAGCATTTGGATGCCAATCTTACCATTGCTATCGATATTATTTTCTACTTCTGTTTATTGTATTACCTTATTCCTTTTAATTACTGTATTGCTGTTTTTTTCTAACATCATAGCTACATCTGTTAAATTATCATTTAAACGTTTGACTTTTAATCGTAGGGCTGTAAGTTCAAGGTTTTATCATCCTCCTATCATACTTTTCTACAGACTATTAGTTAAAATGTTTCCGATTTCATTATTTCGTTTTTCTGACTACAGGAAACATTTGTCAAATTGGTTTTTGTCTCATTTATTGTCGAAACAAATGACTATCGTGTATATTTACGATACTGAAAAAGCAATAACAACTAAACTAATAACTCTTAGACTATTCTTTTCTGTCATCAATTTTCATTACATGGTAGGGGATATAAATTAGCCGTAAATTTTGCATCTTTCTGCTATCGTGCGTAGAATAGATTGGATTATTTCTCTTTACTAAATATCATGGCTTATATATGTTACCTTATAGTGAACATACTTATACCTGTTACCCCTCGCGGAGGAGCATAGTCCGCCGACCAGAATAATTGTTTTTTCTGGTTAGCACTTTTTATCAAGGCTTTTTTCCACGGGGTTAAGTTACCGACCCCACACTGAACCCTCGTTTATCCCGGCTTGGGACCGGCAGTAACTTTATACTTTCATTGGTCGCTAAAGTGAATTTTCTTTCACAAAAAACGACTTTAATTTCTACATCCATACTCGTAAACAATTTCAAGCAAACATTGTGATCGATAACTATCCGTTTCTCGTCGTGTGCATCTAGTGTTTGTTATTCGTTAAGTTGGTAAGCACCGCAAATAACAGTTTATGATTATTATTGTTGTTATTATTATTTAAACACATAAATATTGGTACAAGAGGGCACCAAATATATATGCGCCACACAAATCTCATTTAATTTGTGTGTGGGCTGTGATACTGCTCGGGTGCCCAGACCGAAGCAGGTAGTTTTCTTAGGGGGCCACATCCGGAGCCTTTGACCTAAAGGTCTAACCCACAAGGCAGTGGAGTATCGTGAGGAGATGCAGTCCCATGGTAGTCGGTGACCAACGATTGGTTCATACGCCATTTGTTCCCTCAGGATACTGGAGCCCATGTACACCATTGGTTTGGGGTCCGGTTAAAGCGCCGGACATTCACTTGTCGTCCTCTCGTTTTTGTAAACAACACCCCCGCCACGAGAAGGCAGTGAGTAGGACTTCCGTGGCAGAGGCTATATACGCGTGATCGTGTGAAAGCATTTCGAGGGGGGGCAGGCTCACCCCACTCTCGGCCACACCAGGGCACTTGTGGGCTTTCAGTTAGTCCATAAGATGAATTAATCTTCAAACCCTATCAATTTCATTTCAGTTGACTTCAAACTTTTATAGTATTTGTGTTGGGATGCTTTAAAAGCAGGCATATTTGGATAATTTCAGATACCCGAAATATTATCCGATAGAAATTACGATTTAGTGATTTGTGTTCAAATGATCGGTATTCGAGAACAATTTCCCCAAACGTTGGAAGAAAGTATCTAACGTTTCGCTACGGTTTTCACAGAATTCAAACTACATCACTTTGGAGTTGACAGCAATTTTAGAGTGGGATCCTACATTGGTGAGATCGACTAGGAATCACCCAACCAGTTATTAATGGTGACTTTCCCTGATAAGTTTTATTCATATCCATGATTTGGTTGGTTCATTACTAGTGCTCATATGAATTGTCTTATTTCGGTGTTGACTAGTATTCAGATTAGGATCACTAGCTCAATCGATACAAACTATGATTACAATTTGCTCTTATGTTTTAATAACAAGCTTTGTTAACATCTAAATATTCCACTGTTATTTAGTTGTTGAAATACCAACCATTAGCCAGTGTATCTGACAGTCATATTACCACATTGTTTGCAGATTCTTGAATTGGCTAATTTACTGATGCTGTTGGGTTTTCAATAACTGTTCCAATTTTTTGTTAGCATTCCTTTTTAGTGACTGTCATACTGATAATTCTTGTGTGAATTGGTTGTTTTCGTTTTATCGCACTAGGACAGCAATGTGCTCCCTGTGTGTTGAGAAGGTTAATCTTTGTTGGCAAGCAGTTAGTTGTACGATTCTTATTTAATTTCATCTAATAGTTTGAATAATAACTTCTGGGCAAACCGAGTTTCTCTATTTCTTTCCTCTAGATAGAATGTTGTTCCTTGCTTGATGGGATACTTTTGATTTTTAACAAATAATCAGTTGGTATTCTTTACGATTTGTTCGCTGGATGTCTCATAGTTTGTTTGTGCTTTTCGGAGAAAGGGTCGTTCAATCATATTTTATTTGTTTTGATATTATTAATCTCAGACTTTTAGAATTGACATTGGTCTCACTGACGAAGGCCGATATCTTTTGTACGTATCGTGGCATATTTTCTGATTCCATAAAATCGGACAACAATACCATAGACCTATGTCGAAATATCCAGTTTAGCATCGTACACATTCATTTACCCAATTCGCGTTAATGAGTACTGGAAAAAAACATGTCAAATGTGGGAATGGTTCTTGCATACTTTTATTTCACATATGACTCCCAATTTTACGTGACTATTAGTGTGAACGTTTTTAGTCTGTTAAAATGCACTGTACTCATGTTCGTGGGCCAGAATCTCGTTTTGGAATTTCGAAGCTATATTAATATGGTAATGTTCGTGGTCGAAATAGTGCGCGCAAAAAACAACCATCTGCTTGCTTGTAATTCTTAATAAACAGGATATTGTTTAACAATCAGAAAACACGTTTTATATCGGGAGATACAAAATGGATTCTCTGTAAAAAAACACGGAGGCAGTAGCTATAAAGTTTGTTTGGTTGAGTCTATTGACAACGTCCGTTTAATTTATATGATGCTATTGACTTAAGGAGTTTGGGAATGCTCACAAGCATTTGCTAGGTATTTATTATTCCATCGCAATTAATCGGTAGATATTTGTTTAAAGATATGAATTTAGACAATGTGAAGCAACAAAATATTATTTTACATGAAAAACTTAGTTGTTCGAGAGATGTGTTGTAAATCGATGCGAAAGTTACTTAGTTACAACTGAATATTTTGTTCAGAGTAGTCGCTCATGTTAAATTTTCCGTTTACATTGTTTAGAGTTTTAAAACTGTCAAAAACTTGTAGTGGTCTATTTTTATAAAGAGAACGCGATTGATATGATGGGGACAATTATTACTATAACCAGTTGTGCCAGTGATCGTCTTCCTGTACTTGTTTGTTTAAGTGTGCTAGAAAAGACTACTCCGTTGTTCAGTAACCTTTCAAAAACTCGTGCACTCAGTAGTATCGCATATGGACGATCTCGGTATTATTTCGATACCATGAGGTTGCCAACAAATACATCTTACTACAACCTTCAACTGCCTTCTGATATTTGGTCTACGGAGGGTCTAATCCGGTAACTGGCACGTAGTCTTCCTGTAGTGGTGATCATTGTCAACCGCGACTCAACGCCTAATACATCTGGTGAGTGACATTTGCGAGCACTCCTAAACCATTGGAGAACCTCCCCTCAGGTGGCTTCCGACCTGAGTCTATTACTTATCTCTCCACGTTTGTTGCACATTTTCATATTGGTACCTTTCTATGGGAAATTCAAGCAACAACTCGTTATAATGGATAATGATCACAGTAGTAATGATGTAACAGACTCCGAGGTGCAGGTTATCAATTTCCGACCTATCTATTTTATTTCTCCTAATTCAGAAGTTTGGTTCGCGGCACTGGGATCTCAGCTCGAGATCAGCCGCATAACGAACCAACGGCAGAAGTATACGTACGCTCCGGAAAAACTACCCGCTGACAGTATGGCTGCTGTCCACGAGGTTGTCCTTAATCCAGACGTACTTAACGTTTACGACCGTCTAAGTGGGGTGATTCCTAGACATTTCCTCCCGTCGAGGGAGGAACCATGGGGGACACCTTTAGCATGTCACCCCCCTGGGCGATGCTAAACTGAGCCGCCACCTCATGCGCCTGCATTCTCCTATGGGACCTACGACAATAGATTCTGAAATCGTTAAATAATTGTGTCTCGAATCTCCACCAGAAAGCATGCAACCAACCGTTACGGCTGTGCTCGAGGACATCCTATCTAACCGGGTGGCCCTCAGAGGGGTGGCTGTATCTAAACCTGTCGCAATTTCCTAGACCGTTTTAGTGTAACTGCGCCGTGAATAGCGGCTCCCATAGCAAAATCCGATGCATCAACCGCCATAATAAGCGTCAGGATGTGCGAGAATTGTGATTTGAGCCGGTGCCATTTTGATCTCTGAAAATGCAGAACACACGACATCTTTCAATTTCAATTCGCGTGGAATATTGAGAAGTAAATCGGTCACGTGTGGGATGAAACGTCGATAGAAGTTAGCCAAACCGAGAAATGTTTTCAGTTCTTTGAGTGTTGACTGTACAGGGTACTCCATTATTGCACGTATTTTGTCCTCACATTTATTTACACACTTGTTATACTATAGTGACGTGTCTTCAAAATAACTTCCAACCAAACTGTTTGCACGCTTTTCTTGATATAAGGCATAGTTCCATGTCTTTGTTATCATGCGCTGTGAGTAGGCTAACCGTTCGACTGCAGTAACTTCAGTGATCTTGACGAGTAACTGTGTGCTAATATTTTTCGATCATAAATTGTTGCTCTGGTTCTAGCGCAGTTGGGTTGCTTGAAAAACAGCCATAACCTTGCAAACGAAACGACAGGTTGGCTGCAATATGGAAGAAGTTCTGATTAATATAATGTCAGATAAAGTGAACATAGGTCCAAGTCAGAAAAAAAACATAAGTATGTTAGTCGATTGAACAGCCAAGCTAATGAATAAGTAGGCTAATATACCAAAAATTATGAGAAAACCTGTCCATTAGGTTGTAACCCGTAGCAGAAATAAATAATAATGGTAAAGTACCGAATTCAATAAGAGTACGTTATTAAGTGAAAAACATAATTTTACAGTTACAAGTATATCAGACAAACGTAGACCGGCTGAAAGTAACACAACCTTCTACTGTTATTGCCTATTGAAAGCATTTGAGTAACTAGCGTAAATTCAAGCCCTCTAGGTCACGGGTCGTCATCAGTTTGTGTGGTGGCAAGTGCTCGAAGGATGGTAGATTTGGACAAAGGGCCTATTAAAAAAGAAATAAGTAACTCTGTGTTTATCATCCCAGCGCTTCTGGTCGTTTCTTTACTGATATTTTTTATCTACAAAATAAAATGCAGGCTGAGCGAGCCTAGATCTTCGAAAATTAAAAAATCCAAACCGACATCAGCCAAAGTGAAATAACGTTTCTTGAATTTTTAAACCTTTCGTTGGTGTTTACGATTTCGTTATTACTACGTCGCTGTTATCCGTATATGTAATGTCCACTGATTGTTATTGTCTTTAACATGTTATTTTTGTGTTATATATGATATACAGCTTCCGAATCGTATAGACACCTGTTCAAAATTACAAATCCATGACGATAATACATACTCTTGTTTTAGTTCGTCCTTTTCCGACTTATAAACTAACGCTTTTTCATTTCAGGTTATTCGTTTTATCTGAATGTTACAGTACCTAGTAAATACTACGTTTTCCCGAGGAGTGTGAACAATAGGTGTTTGTGTAGTCCGGCAGTTAAGTGTCTACTTAAATGTTTAACACGTCCCATGTGGATTCTGTGCTGTTTTATTGCAACCACTCAGTTTAATTTTGTCATCTCTAAGTTTGGGGATTCCCAACCAACCAATAAAGGGGGAAACGCGTCAAAAAATAAAGAAACGCGCGAAAATGTCTACTATTTTTCCTGTCCGGTGGAAATAGTGCGGATTTTCCTTTTTTTTTGTCGCTGTATTGTCTATACTATATAGACAAGTATATTCTTGTATACTTTTCGCTTAAATATTCGCCGAATTGTCTACTTTTCCCCTAAATATACGCCGAAGTGTCTGCTTTTGCTTCCACTTGTAAAAAACTTTTGGCATAACCTCAAACATTTGTGTTCGCATTTATTCCCACAACACACCACACGTTCGACCATGAACTAATGTTAATCCCACCTAGTTCTTTGGTGAGACTAGTTTGGCTATGTAAGCAATTACGTTCCTATCTGTGAATGGTCCACAAACAGGTTTTAACCTGCATAACAGCTCCGTACCGTATTATATTGTATGGATCATCAGTGTACCAGGTAAAAGTTAACCTCTTTAGCCATACCTTTTGTTATTTTAAAGTCTGATAGTTGTACGTCAGGTGAGTTTGGATGATAAGTGGTTAAAATAACCTTCAGCTAAGCTTAACGTGCATTCTTATTCAGTTATTACGACGACATATATACTACACTGAAAAGAAAAGTCATTAGAATACCTTATACACTTTAAGGTACACCATAGACGGTGTCAAAGTTTGAAGCGATAAGTCCCTTTGACAAATTCGCGTAGTATAATAAGGAAACGAAAATTGTCAGAACTATGTAATATATTTGCACAATACATTGCAAACTATCCGACCACACATATACTTGTTAAGATCATTTATGTATAGAAAATTTAACTCGATAAATGGAAGGCAAGATGAGACAAGGATAATGAAGAAAATAACGTGAAGACAATTTAAAACCCCATCACTCTGGATAACAAACTAACATTACCAGGGTAGGTGAGAACAAACTGTTTCTGAATAAACGAAGAGGGTTTGAACTCCCGTATGGCCAAGGCTTCAATAATCCCTAGTGTCGGGTCCATCACGCTTTTGTACAACACCACAAAACCCCTTTTAAGATCTATCTTATGGCCTGTTTCGATCATATGTTTAGCAATAGAGGATGATGGATGTTTATCACTTACTCTTATTCGATCATTTGATCTTGTTTGTTTTTGCAACCATTTAGGTATATGTCCAGATACCCTAGTTTGGAAATCACGATCACTTCTCTCTGTATGTATGGCTATGTACACATTTAAACTGGTAATCACAATGGGATTTGACGCAATCGTTCTCATGTCTTTTAGATTTTTGATGAAGCGTGTCCTTGTTTTTTCCTTGATAATGACTTTTGCTGCGTAATACTTCCTAAAGGCACCTGACTTAATCGTTTGTTTCAATAAGGAGCTATTTGAATCACCTCTAGACGGTAAAATGATGTAGACAGGTTTCTTTCTACCAAGACTAGTAGGTCTCACTATACCATAACCTTTCCACCCACTTAATTTAGTTTTCTAAAAGTGGGTCATTTGATTAAACCATCTCGTCTACTTATAAATATATCTAAAAAGGGAAGATGCTCCATCTGCTTTTCGCATGAAAGACTGATGTGATTTTGGAGTGTTAAGTCTACTTAATAAATAATTCATATTGTCCTTCCTTTCACAGATAACTAAAATGTCATTCTCATATCTCTTATAAAGGGGCATTTTTGATTAGGACTTCAGATAGATTTGCAACATATGCCATGAACACATCTGGTGATAATGGTCCTAACGGACTATCCATAGCAAACCTATCAATCTGACGAAAGTATTCACCTTTAAATGTGAACTGGGCTTGGCAGTACGTAATAGTAATTTAAAGTTGTTCAAAGATATGTAGTCACATAATATATCAATAGTCTTTTTCAAAGGTACATTTGTGAACAAGGAGTACACGTCAAATAAACACATTGTCCCCTCTTGATACTAATATCACATAAATTATCGACCAATTCAAAAGAATCTTTCACAGAACACATAAACGTCTTCAGATAGGATCCAGCAATTTTGTCAGCCATCTGGCTAGGTTATGTGTAGGTTATCAACACATTGATAAGATTGGGCGTAAAGAAATGTTTGATTTGTGAATTTCAGGTAATCCATGTGAATGAGGATACTCAGAACCGATTGGTTTTAGAACATCGAATTCCTCCCTATCAGTAATATTCATGTGCAGCAGTTTTACTAGGTTTGAATTTATTCTTCCTTCTAGTTTGCTAATATCTCCATTTCTAGTCTAGTTGACCTTTTATTTTTACATATAAAGGTGTCAGAGTTGTAGATATTTGAAAGTGAGGTTTATATGACCAGGTAACAACCCATCAATGAACTGCACGGCTTATTTTTGTTGATGTGTGTCAACTTATTACTTAAATTATGGATTTGGGTCATGACTGCAAGTTTGAAACTATATCACTTAAGTTTTCCAACCATAAAATATTATCTCATTAACCCTGAGTAAGAAATCTATCCGCCAACATAGTTCAGAGCGTTAATTATCAGTTTCACTGACTTGTCATGCTCTAGTTTCGTCTTCCTTAGCCCTTCCCCGTCCATCGTCACTAAAGTGATATGGGATCTAAACACATCAAGGAGGTCAGATGTTGCTTCTGAGGACATGCCTTTGAGAAAATGACAATAAATATGTGTTCTAGGGTACAATATGTGATAGAATATTAAGGTTGGAAATTATGGGGCAAGTCAAGAACTAAATGCTAAGCTACCAAGAAGACGTCGTGTAATGGCACTGATGTGTGGGTGAGGATGATATTGATTGGTTGTTTGCTTAGTCAGATTTGTAGATAGTCTGACAGGCGTTAGATAATTTATATATTATGTCATTATTATTAATTGGTTTTTGGTGTAGAAATATATTTACGTTCTAGTTAGGCTAATCAAGTCTTCTAGATCTGAGTTGTATTGAAGTCCTGTAGAATAGACACTGGGAGGGTATCTAGTGTGGTATTCGTCTCAGGCAAATTAACATCCCATTCGTAAAGACGAAGCAAACCGAGCGTTATAATAGGCACTCTCTAGTACTACTAACTTATGATTTTTCTATAAGGATTCTAAAACGTGTTATTGAACATTATCTAGGGCATATATCGATTGAAGTCTGGAAAATTGTCATCTTAATACATGCCTCTAACATCTAACAAAATAAGAGATATTTGGTCTAATGCTCAGATAACTAAGTAATACCACAAATATAACACATGGAGTATTTTATTCACTAATTTATCCGTTCGACTTTGGTTAGTAAGTTACAGATTTACATTCTGTTAAACGCGATTTGAACAAATTTTCTAACGAATGAAACACAGTACGAAGGTTCTAAGTCAATAAGTCTGATTGTTATCATTTAAAACTTTAATATTTTTGGCTAAGTAGTTTCAAAATATCCAGTGCATGTTTGCATGCTAATTTTTATAATATACAGATTGCGAATTTTACTATTTGCTTAAATTTTCCATAAACGAATTTCTTTTGAATTATTCTTTACTTAGGAATAGGGATTTCATGACTACTTATGGTTTGAAACTCTTCCTTCATATGATTCTTAATTCTAGAAAAAGAGAATGACCTTTCAGTTAGTGTCACAGTGGCACTTTTACTTGAAAAAAATTTGTCAGTTTATTACTTGTCAAAGAAACAAGTAAGTACATTGATCACGCTTCCATTATTGAGACAAATTACATACACTGAGTCGTAATGATTTTTAATCGTGATTGAAATAAAATTCATCGATAGTTGAGAACAAACTGAATAAATAAAAAAAACACAGGAAAGAAAATGTACACAAAAGCCGATTTCCTATGCAAACAATTCTTTAACATTGTCAATTTCGAAAGGGATATGTAATAACGACAAGATGGTTTTCAAGAGTAATCACAGTTAACTTTTTGTTGAGTACTGAGGTGTTAATGTTTTGTTATATTAGCATGGAGAAACTCGTTCAGTCTAGGCGATCAAATTTACTGAGCAAGATAGATGTGACCAATAAACACTGAGTAGGCAATACAAACCACTAGTAGCCATTACAACAAAAATGAGTATTTGCCAGTGTAATAGTAAGTAAGTGCTATAGACAAAAGCGATTCCCGATACGATAGACTAAAAAAAACAGTATAAAATAAAAAGTATAAAACAAATATATATATATATATATATAATTTGTTTTCATTAGGGTTTAATTGTCAGTGATTAACAAATAAACTCTTAATGACTGTTATGAATCAACAATATCTGTTGCAAACTGATCACTTTAACGTAGTAGGCCGATTTTGAGTAAAGCTAACTAGCAAATCCTCAGTAGGACTAAATGTTCATACTGCCTATTGAGCAGTAGTTTACAGGAAGTGTATGGTTAGAATCTAACGTATATTAGTAAAGTTAGAAATAATTAAAGTTTACGGTATTCTAACAAAATCGAGCGTGGACTGTATTGTGCACTTAGTAAAGGATTACACTATGGATTGACTTCTAACGAAGTAACTTGCATTTTTGGTGCTAGTGTTCAGAGTATGCTGACTGATCCATTTCCGAACAACTAGCGCTAGTAGGCGAATTCAAAAGATCCAATAAGCAGCTTCCATATATATATATATATATATTCTTATTGTATAACTACTAAGTAACTAGATTATAAACATATTTGTATTTCTCTTATTATAAGTTTTCATTTGATTTATTGGCTACTGTTATACGATTTATATTCCCAATATATTATTTACAGTCTCTCACAATCACAGCTACTTTTGGCTTCATCTTGTATCGTCATTATTTCTTATTTTATCGTATGATACGATACGGTTTACTTGTGTATAAACTACGTGTGTTTGAAACCTATTATTCATACGGTGGAGACTGAGGTTGTGTTCTGGACTCAACGGGTAGGGCTGAGTGAGAAGGACTAATAATGATTCAGAGTTGACGCAGGGCTGTTGGTGCTGGTTGACGCGTCGCTGATTTAGCACAAAAGTAAGGTCATATAAGTCGGTATTCTGATAGGCGGTTTTGTCAAGTGATAATTGACAGGGGCAAAAGTTATAAGAATAAGGGATAAATTGTGTATTTTATAGTCTTAATAGTTAGACAAAAGTATGTACATATATACTCACTTGAACAGATTTGAATAAAGCAAATCCAACTGTAACATCCTTTCCATGTTCACCATAAATGAAACCAATTAAAGTGGAAATTTGTGTGTTCCACACGGAATCCACAGCACCAAACAAAAATGCTATGAGCATAGCCAAATATACACTAATAAAAACATACGAAAAAGTTAACTATTTCTACATCAAAATTCGACTGGACTATGTTAAAAGCAAGATGTGCACCGAATATATAACAGGACGTCACCACCTGATTCCATAATGTTTCATTATGGCTAACTGTACGTTGTAGAATACACGAACTACTCATTAACGATTTACTATGTGGAAAATAGTCTCACCACAAATATTTGACAGAGATTCAATACCACAATCTGAATTTTACTGTGACAGCCTGAAATAACTGATTTATTATGTCGTCGTCTTATTCCAAGTAGAATAAATAGAGATCTGAATTACATAATCAATTAGGAAAACAATGTAACTCAAAAAGTAAAAGGGTTGACCTAGTGGTAGATAGAAATTATGGTTACAAGAAATAGATGGAATCGGAAAATAACATGTGGAGCAGTGTTATTTTTCAAGATTAAGAAAAGGTTTACGAATGAATGGAATCTGCACTATGTCACTATGGCTCTGTATGACTCAACCAAGAAACTTGTATCTCTGGTCTGGCAGTTAGTGATTCGAAAAAAATGACGTTTAACCACATAATACTTACACTAAGTGACATAAAACACTAAGATAGATAGAAGTTGCACACGTAACACATTCGATATAGCCTCAAAACACCAAATGATAAGTGAACTTTTGTATTCAATACGTAATATCATAATTCCCATCATGTTGCATCATCACAAGCAAACATTATTCTGAACAAGGGATGTAGATAGTTTTCATTCTGTCCTTTTTATAATTAGCTTTTGGTAGTAAGAATTTTGAGCAGAGAACTAATCTTAGTGTCACGATGACGCCAAAATCAAAGTTACTACGATGAAAAGAGATTTCCTTAATGCTACAAACAGATATTAATGAGCTTGAGCATGAAGTACAAACTGACTACTTTCTGAAGATTCCTGACACAAATTCAAACCGAAACAACGTAGACGGTTACGTCATTTTTATTTAACTCAGCGATGAAATTGTGTAGATTAATTAACAAAATCAGTCAACTAAAGAGTCACTGGTCTACATCTGGTAGTCAGTTGGCAAAGAGAATTAACTTACAAAAGACAAGGAAAACTATAGTGAATTTAATTTGAACTTACTTAGGAGTGATATAAGACAGCTCATCCGTATCTTTTATAGAACTGTTTGTCGGTAACATCATGAAAGTGAAATAGCCAGCTACAATTGCACTGATATAACCAAAAATAACTAGAACTCCTTCTAAACGAATCCACCGAGTTAAACGTGAAGAGAAACTACCTACAACCAATGATATAAATAGTTTTCTATTACTATTTCAAAATAAGACAATTATATATATATATATATATATATATATATATATATATATATATATATATATATATATATATATATATATAAATATAAATAATATGCAGTACTAACTAGTGTTGAAGATTGGCGGAAGAACGTTAACGACGACCAAGCGAAAACGTGGCGTCAGTCCATAAAATCACTAACTTCTGGTCTGTGCCATGTTGGTAGATGCAGATTACTTGGTTGGGGTCCGCCAAACTGTCGTAACCAGTGGTTGGAGATTCTGGGTGGCATGGTTCAGAATCGATCACAATGGCGTATACATTCATTGTCTTCACTTAAACCATGAGATTAAAATTACACACATATATGTGTGCCTGGTCTTACGTTGTAGATGACTGACTGACATATACAATTGATTCAATATATAAAATAGCCGATCAAAATTTTTAAGCTAAATTTATTTATGAACAATAATAGAAACAGGACAAGGTGAAGTATTAATTCATAATCAAGTGATTTACAATTAAGTGCCTTCGATATCAAGCTCAAATTTCGCAGTGAATATAGCCCACAAATGTCCTGGTATGACTGAAGCTAGGGAAAGACCATTTTCCTCTCGAAACTCCTTATATGGTCGCTCATTTATAACATTTACAAAAGTCCTACTCACTATCTTTACATTAGGGGCGTGTTTGAGAAAGTGGTAGCATGAGAAGCAGACGTCCTGTCCTTAAGCAGAGTTGGTGGATATGAGGAGTTCATCTAGGAGAATCGGAAAACCCTGATCCCAAACCAATAGTGTAAATATGCTACGTCTAACAATTAATATGAGTAAGAGTCTGCACTACTCATGGTTGTTCTAAATCAATTATCGTATGATTGAGTTACATGTCAATTTCATATGATATACAGTGTGATTGTGACGTGACTCAACAGAACAACTTAGTATACTCAAGATTAGTGCTACCTCGTATTTTATTATGACCCCAAGCCCTCTCCAAATAATCAAGAAGTCACCAGCCGTGGAGAATATATATATATATATATATATATAATGTGCCACTAGCGATGGTGATATTTTGGAAAATAGATGAAGATTTAAAGAGTAATTAAATATGACATTAAGAAGCAGCGGAATTGGTGGATTTTTAAAAGCCAAGTTTCAGTTTTCATAAGCAGTTCGATTCAAGAATTCTAGCTTCGGCTACACTTTTATAAAGGAGCGTACATTTAGACAGTGTAGAAACATATTGTGCCGTAATTCACAAATCTATTTTCCCTTTCCTTATAAAACAATACAATGGATAATAATGTTGACAATGTTAACTAAGATAATAAAATTATAAGGATTGAATTATTTTGGAATTTTACATTAGGGGTAAATTTTAACAAAATTGTTTTTCATTTGTGCTTTGTTTGTAATCAGCACCAATTTTATTAACAAATAAATTTCAATAGTTGAGATCATGAATCAATTGAAGCTAGACTACCATGGAAAACCTGGAATAAATGTAAGACAAACGGAGTAAACTTAACAATACAGATATATTACATTACAGTTAATCATTTACAAAGTGAATAAAGCCTTTATCAGGACAAATGAATTTCCCATTAATGCCACTAATATAATGTAGATTAACGTTAGATGTATATAAAAGAAATATGACGATATTCTTAAACTGTATTAATTAATGGTGAAGTTGATTGTAAGTCTGATAGGTTGACTTTCAATCAAAACTACATATTTTATAATTGACGCATAACAATATGATTTTCTAAAATTACAGATTCTCTTCAATTGTTTATAACTTTATTTTTATCGATATCATTTATTTCATTATAGTTTTATTTAATTATTTGTTACTAAGACTACATTGTTGGGTTTATTATGTTACTTTCATTGATACAACTGTTAAAAGTCGATATAAATGATTCCAATTTGTTATATCTAGAAGGTTTTTATTTGATATACCGCGTATAACTGAGCACTAGAACGCCAAAACCCTTCCAAGTCGCAAGAAGACTAATGAAAGGAATATTACTCCAAACAGTGTCAATTATAGTACAAGATTGTCAGGTATTTATAGTTTTTAGTAAGAACGAAATCATCATTACAGTCCTCCAATCCGCATACAGGGGGTTATTAGCCTTGTCCAATCGGGAAGCTAAACGTAGGAATTCTAGAATATTCTTTCGAAAGGTGATTGGATGGAATATCTTCGGCTCCTTCTGAGCCTCTTACAGCTTCCTCGAGTTCACCCGTGGTCCGTCGTCACACAATTATTTTACACTAATTTGTTAACTCTACATAAATCATTCTCTTTTACATTTTTCATATCACTTTTACTCTTTTTAGATTATATAATACTATTTCTCTATTTAATCAATATGTTGTAAGCTGTTGAAGGGAATCTATAAAATATAATGAACTGATATTAATTCTGCTTTAGTTATTGTTCATATATTATTTGGATTTATAAAAAGAATTACTTTGTAAAAAATAAAATAAGTGGGATTACTTACCGACAATTTCTCCAATCCCAATAAACAGGCCAGCTAATCCAATATAAGACTTTGCATTTCTACCGAAATGTAAACAATGTCCTAACGCAGAAGCATATAGACTTGAATAGAACGTCAAATTAATACCTACAATAATTTCAGATTATGGTACGATAAATTGAAGGTATGTTAAGGGAAAAAAATGTTAAGTAGGCATCTTTAATTACCTTTTTAACGTTGACTATAAAATATCGGCAAAACATGTCCGAGGGAGTATAGGTTGGTGGCTAGTTTTCAGTTGTAAATACAATCAAGTTGGAGACATAAAGGTAATGGTGTAGTAACATATGGTTTTAGAAGTTGGCATATCAAAATCTTTCAAAGGCTATACTTTTACAACTATTTTATCCTTTAGTCTTGCTTTCATGAAGCAGGTGATTGAAGAAGATTCCCTATTCAGCAATGAATGCATACCCATGATCCTGACGGATAACAAATTCAGAACCTTCGAGTTTCACAGAGAGTGAGTCATTTTTAACTCACTGAATCAGAAACAAACACTATATATCGTGTTTCTACTAATAATGAAACCTAGTTTGGTGATTTAACTATGGTGCTATTACGAACTTATGACGTTGGTGATAAGATACAAGTAGAGAAAATAACTTATAAACCAACCTAAAAACCACTGATAACCCCACAATGTTTCAGGAGATAATGACACCCAAGTAATCACAGAGTGACAGCAGAGGAGGAAGGCTGAAGTAATGTATTGAAGGCGCATCCAGTATCAAAAAATTAGTAATGCCTCAGCACATGCTATTACAATGACTGGTCAAGTGAGAATAGATGAGTAAAATTCATATAATTGAAATCATTAGTCTACGCAATCCTGGAAGGGCATAATATCCTATGTGAAACATCCAGATGTCGGTCGGTTACACATAATGTTTGGAGGGTACGAGAATTGCAAGGGAACTCATAATTTAATTATGTGTCATCGTTAAGTTTATTTATAGAGACTTCGTACAAGAAGAATAAGCGTCCAGGATATAAACCATTCTGATTTGGTGAAACTGGTAAATCAATATAGCCAGTGTTGTGATTACTTCGATTGTTTAGTAGTACGTTTCGTTAGCTCATAATATGCATTTTATCAGAAACCGCAAATTGTGATCGTTCGTTAGGTGGTTTTCAAAAGAAATCCTGATTAATACCTAAGTTACATGACTATGGAATGTTAACGTGAACGATGCAATATGAGGATCACTTGGATGTTGTCTATTTCCGCACTCAGTATGTTTGAACTAGATATAGTGAAATAGGAATGTTGGTAACAATTGTCTGGCTGTCAGCCATATATTAGACATGGCTACAGAGTGATAGGAGTTATAAATGTACAGGTATAAAGAATCGAGTAGGGCGCGAAATGGGCCTCCATAGTCTTTTTGTAATGCCACCTAAAGAGACTTCACTCTGTGTTCTGGCGTTATAAACGTTTTGAAATAATGATTAACTAAAATAATACAACAACAGGAAAATATCAGAATGTCATTAGCTTCTATTGGATACGGTCGACTAAAATTTGTTGATCTTTCTGAAACACTTTCTAGATTTTGTCCACAAACTATCCAAGGCGCAATGTATTCTTAATAAAGTGGGGACAGCAAAAGTAAGTGAAAAACCTCTTCAGCCTCAATGAGAAAATGAAAGTGTCAAGGAAATATTCAAAGGGACAACTAACTGTATAGTTATCGCAGAATTTAATCGTATGCAATGTGAGTTGAAATAAAAACGATAAACAGTATGGTTAGGAGCCTACACAACTGATGAATTTAAAATGGACAAGATCACGTTATGTTACCAAGAAAGAAAAATTAACGTTTAAAACTTGCTAATACACCAAACCTTTATAATCTTACAAAAACAAAATACAGCCATAAGTTAATATCCAAAATTATATAACACATGTAAAATTAACTAGTTTGAGTAATTCAGATATTCACACTAAATATATATGATTACAAAGTTGACTGGAAAGATTGCCTTTGGTTCAGTGCAATAAAATCTCTCTGCTTACACCATCTTATAAAGTACCGATGATTGTTCTAGGTAATTCCCATCATAACATAACGACTACAAGTATACACTTATCATTCACTGTTTGCTGTTTTGCTGAGTGTAAGTTTAAAGTATTTCAATCTCTGAAATATTCATCTACACGGAATTCGTGAAGATTGTAATTTCATCATAACATAATAGATTATGAACATCGAGTCAATATAGGCGTATTACCTTTAAAAATCCTCAAACCATAAGAATAACGTTTATTTAAAGGTGGAATAATTCGTTTTTGAGGTACTCAAGTGGTAATAACATTTCAAATATTAAATTTAAAAAGAAAGAGCAACTAGTAATCATGAAATGTTTATTTATTTTATTTTATTTTTAACACATAGGCATTTGTACAAGGAGGCAACAAATACATATGCGCCACACAAATCTCAATTGATTTGTGTGAGGGCTGTGATACTGCCCGGGTGCCCGAACCGAAGCAGGTAGTTTTCTTAGGGGGCCACACCCCGAGCCTTTGACCTGAACGTCTGACCCACAAGGCAGTGGAGCATCGTAAGGAGATGTAGTCCCATGGTAGCCGGTGACCAACGATTGGTTCATACGCCATTTGTTCCCGCAGGATACTGGAGCCCATGTGCACCATTGGTTTGGAGTCCGGTTAAAGCGCCGGACATTCGCTTTTCGTCCTCTCATTTTCGTAAACAACACCCCCGCCACGAGAAGGCAGTGAGTAGGACTTCCCTGGCAGAAGGAGTTGTATTAGGCATGAATATTAACAATCAGCAAAAAGGGATTAACGGCTATGTTCCAAAACATAAAAATACCATACATATTTTATGAGGAAGGAAATCAAGATATTCAGTTATAAATGGAAGGATGAACCAACAGATCTAAATGGGAAGACAAACACATAGACTGGAAGAGCAATTTCCAAGGTTTAAAAAAGTTCTAAAAAGTTTTTAGATACTTATAAATAGTAAGTAACAGGCGGTAATGCACAAAAATATGAAACAAGAGAGAAAGGAGATTCAGAAAAATTTGAAATTTAGTTAACAATTAAGGTATTAATCTTATTCCAACTTACCAGTAAATGCTGCTGCCACAAGTATGCAAATCATTGGTCTTGTAATTAGAATTCTAGCCGACCTACCTAGAGTAGCATACACATATGTATAGTGAGAGAAAGGTTAGAAACGTAAATTTAATGAAGGTAATGAAAATATTTCGTTATAAAGATAGATTTAAAACCCTGGTTGTTACATTATGTACTAGATTTTCATGGATTATAAATTCCTCACTTGAATTGGACGGGTACAAAGAAAATTATGAACTTGAAATTTAAGAAATTAGGCGAACCACAAGCATTCTTAATTTAGTGTTTTGATATAAAGTATCGAATAACCATAGTTTAAGTATTGTTATTGTAGAGTAAAAACTCAAAACTTGAAATGTTTAGGAATGGCTGGTTTTGGATATATTTTGCACAATTATTAGTTCATTTAACTAGATATGTATCGATATTATAACTTACAAACACATCCTGCTTTACGGCTATTTCACTCTTTTCATTTGTGCCCTTTTATCCCAATTTCGACGTTTCTAACCTTTTTTTTTCGACGATTACTTGTTCTAATAACTGACAAGTGATCCAGAAAGTAATTAATAAGAATTGATTATTTTGTTGTGTTGTAAATCACTTGTTAACAGCTATTAATTTGTGTTGTTTTCTCCAGTCTAACTGTTTTCTTTGGCTGTTGCCCAGTCGATGATGATTCTTTCGAATTATATGAGAGCCTGGACGGTACATCCGAAGATTGTACTAACATAGAGTGTTACAGTCGAAAAACGTTATTTAATTCCATTTAACGGTGAGACTATAATTTATGGACGACCTTTGAGCGACTCTAGACTAACCTTGAGAGTGTCCATCTAATAACTAGAACCAAATGAGGGTTGTAAACCAGTGTGAGGAATTAGAATTATGATTTACAATTGGTGGTTGAGGTTAGGTATTAGATCTAGGGTTTACATCACGAACTGACATCAGCTATAATGCCAAAACTGTATTTAGCTAAATAGATGGGTGAATTTCGCGCCAAGATCCAAGACGTTATTTTATATCTGATTGGTTCGTCCATAAATTATAATCTCGCCCATTTGTTTACATAGTATCACAGTTTCAAAATAGTATTTGGAATATACTGATTTGATCACAGAATTTCGGTTGGAATAAATATTAATTCATCGTATTCCGGTTCTGAGTTTTATGAGCATTACTTTCCTTGATGTAGATAATCCTGAATATAATTTACAAACAATTTTTTATTGGTCTTTATACGACAATACTACAGAAATATGAGATATTCCAACTAGCCTTATCATATATTAATTACGCAATTAGCACCAAGTTATTATATTGAAAAGAAGTCAAAAATAGTGAAATTGATCAATTCGTAACATTATAGGGTATTAATTGAGCAGAAAATATGGGACTTGATTAAATTTATGGTAGGTGAGGCACTAATATTCGTTACTGAGGTCTAGCTATAATATGCATTACAGAATTAATTTTTCTAGATATTAGAACATATGAATACTATGGTAATATCTGCTGCACACATAACAGGTTTATAGATCAGTTCGATTTTAATACGTTAGTCTCACAAATACTCCATGCATAAAAGTTTGTTTATCATTCCACAGTTGGAAAAATGGTCTTTGAAGGTTGAAGACATACGTATATTGATTGTAAGTATTTGGCGATAAATACCCTAGAAACATTGTTTTTATGCAGCAGAACCACCAGTGATTAAATAGTGAGGAGGTTAAACACAGGTTATCACGTTGGTAGATAAAGTTGTAAACCTTTACTGACTGCAGCGGTTAGGGTATATATGTCAAGTAAGATCAGCCAATTCGTAACTCGACGCAGTAATGATTAGCATCAGAGTAGACTGAAAGTTGGCTAAACGTAGTCCGAATAAGACATGGTATTAATCAACGAATTCATTAACTGTTAAAATGAATTAAATCAGGAAATTCAGACTACATGGTTGAGGTACGTGCAGTAACCGTAATCTATCGATGAAGACTTCACGTAACATCGACTGGGATTGGTGGCAGCGGCATAAAATTTAATTACTTACTTACGCTAGTTATTCCTCGCGAAGTAGTATAGGCCGCTCACCACCATTCTCCTTCATACCTTATCCTGGGCAATCCTTTCCAGCTCTTATTCATCCTTTTCATATCCGCTTCTATTCCCCGATGTAATGTGTTCTTTGGCCTTCCTCTTTTCCACCTCTCTTCAGGATTCCAAGTTAGGGCTTGTCTCGTGGTGCAGTTTGATGATTTGCGTAATGTACGTCCTATCCATTTCCATCGTCTTTTCCTAATTTTCTCTTCATCTGGAAGCTGGTTTGTTCTCTTCCACAGAAGGCTGTTGCTGATGGTATCCGGCCGATGGATGTTGAGTATCTTGAGTAGACAGCTATTTATAAACATTTGTACCTTCTTGATGATGGTTGTTGTAGTTCCCTACGTTTCAGCTCCGTACAGTAGAACTGCCTTGACGTTCGTATTGAAGATTCTGACTTTGATGTTGGTTGAAAGTTGTTTTGATTTCCATATGTTCTTTAATTGAAGGAATGCTACCCTTGCCTTGCCGATCCTCGCTTTTACGTCTGCATCTGAACCTCCTTGTCCATCGATGATGCTTCCCAGGTATGTGAAGGATTCTACATCTTCCAGAGTTTCGCCATCAAGAGTGACTGGATTGCTCTTCTCCGTGTTGTATTTGAGGACCTTGGTTTTCCCTTTGTGTATGTTGAGGCCTACTGATGCAGAGACTGCTTCAACGCTGGCTGTCTTTATCTGCATTTGTTCGTGTGTATGCGATAGGAGGGCTAGGTCATCTGTGAAGTCTAAATCGCCCAATTGGTTCTGAGCTGTCCATTGTATGCCGTGTTTTCCCTCATATGTCGAGGTTTTCATAATCCAGTTGACCACTAGAAGAGGAAGGGAGAGAGTGGGCAGCTCAGATCTTTGGAATCTTGATGAAGTGTCCTTCTTTCCAGTCCATCTACACTTCTTCCTCCTCCCAAATCTTGAATAGAAGGTGAAGCATGTTTGTAGTTACTTCGATGTCTGACTTCCGCTGGTATATTGTCGGGTCCTGCTGCTTTCCCGCTCTTGATTTGTCTGATGGTCATTCTGATTTCTTCCGTCGTTGGTGGATTGACATCTATAGGAAGATCTGTGTGTGCTGCTATGATGTCCGGTAGTTCATTGGAGCCGGTCTATTCAGGAGTTCCTCGAAGCACTTTACCCATCTGTTCCGCTGTTGTTGAATTTCAGTGATTGGTCTACCTTCTTTATCTTTGACTGGTCTCTCTGGTTTACTATATTTTCCTGCTAGTTTATTTGTTGTATCGTAAAGCTGTTTCATAATTCCTTCTCTTGCAGCTTTCTCCGCCGTCGTTGCGCGTTCTTCTACGTATTTCCGCTTGTCGGCTCTAATGCTCTTCTTCACTTGCTTGTTTGCTTCTATGTACTCAGCTTGTGCTTGGACTTTCTCTGCTCGTGTTCGACTGTTGTTAATTGCTGTCTTCTTGTTTTTCCTTTCTTTGATCCTGTCCAGTGTTTCTATAGAGATCCATTCCTCGTGATTATGCTTTTTGGGGCCCAGAACCTCTTGACACGTTGAAGTTAATGCTTCTTTGATACCTTTTCAGTTATCCTCGATAGTAGTTTCTTCTTCCTTTAGTAGATCCTGTAGGGCTTGGAACCTGTCATTGAGGGCTATCATGAATTCATTGAGTTTGTCAGTATCTCGAAGGAGGGCTGTATTGAACTTTTGTAGTGCTGTTTGTCCAGTTCTTCTTTAGCTTCAGTTTTAAATTAGCCACAACCAGGTGGTGATCTGAAGCTATTTCCGCTCCTCTCCTGGTTCTCACATCTTCATTGTCCTTCGGAACTTTTTATTAATGCAAATATGACCTATCTGGTTCTCTGTGGTGTGGTCCGGTGAGATCCATGTAGATTTGTGTATACGTTTGTGTGGAAATATTGTGCCTCCTATGACCAATTTGTTGAATGCACACAGATTTACAAATCTTTCCCCGTTTTCGTTTCTCTCTCCCAGTCCATGTAGTCCCATGATATCTTCATATCCGGTGTTGTCTATTCCGACTTTGGTGTTTAGATCTCCCATCAGGATGGTGAGGTCCTTTCTTTCTTGGGCACTTCTCTATGATTGATTGCAGCCTCTCATAGAATTGATCTTTAACGTCGTCGTTGCTATCATTGGTGGGTGCATAACATTGGGTAATGTTCATTGTGATCCCCTCCTTCTTTGTTTTGAATGATGCTTTGATGATTCTGGATCCGTGAGATTCCCATCCTACAAGTGCATTTCGTGCTACTTTGAACAGCATTAGAGCAACTCCCTGAGTGTGTGGAGCATTTTCCTCTTCGTGACCGGAGTATAGAAGAATCTCTCCCGTATTTAGCCTTTGTTGTCCAGCTTTGGTCCAATGGATTTCGCTGATTTCCAGTACTGCCAAGTTGTATCTCCACATTTCCGTTGCTATTTGATTGGTCTTCCCTGTCTCCCACATTGTCCGGACGTTCCATGTACCTATAAAAATTGTTGCTCTGGTTGTTAGGAGGGACATCGGCCTCACGGCTACCGAAGGTACTCGGCTTTCACCCTGAGGCGTCATATTTCTTCTAAATGAAGACCTACTAACTCCCAGGTCAGAGTTTAAATGGTTTGAGTTATTTTTTAGGGTTAGCGTTTTTTTAGCGAGTTAGTTTTCTACGGGATAGGTTCGCTAACTCCATTTCCAACCCTCCTCCTTTACCCGGGCTTGGGACTAGCAGTAACTCTAGAAGAGCTACAGGCGGAGTTATAAAATTTAACACCGCTTGAAAATCTTCATTTATTTGTTTTATTCATTGTTTTAGAAGTGTATTCTTTAGTCTTACCTTTAACTATCATAGATGTTTTTATTTAAACTTCTTCGTTTTTTATCATGTTAGTTTCCCTTCATTATGCTGATGTGAAGTTTGACAACGTAGGAAGATGTAAAATTGTGTCAAACGCTAAGTTGTGTAAGAATAACAGTTAGCTTATTGTTGAGTTATAATTTATTATCATATTCATTCAGTTAATATAATACTATATCAAGAGTGAGAAGGCTGCTGTTTTGAGTCCAAACATTATTTCAGATAGTAAGAACTGATCATCGCGCGGACCTCAACCGAGAGAAAGTGACTTCAAGGTTTGACTGTTCAACCTAAGAAATTGTATCTTAATAGTCTTAGCTTATTTCACTTGTGGATCAATAATTTTTATACGAAAAAAACGAGTTAACTATTGAATCACGTTAAAACAGAATAAAACTTACGTAAAGAGTGTAAAGTCGACTGAAAGACTGTCGAACGATTTTGTATTCTATGAGTGAGCAAAGATTTAGAAATATGGACTTTTAACACTTTAATTAGTTTCAGAGTGAAAAAAACAGTAATGATAACGAAGACTTAGTAAATACATTTAACAAGACTGTGTGTAGCTGAGTATTGAAAATTCGAAAGATGAAAAATAAATTCATTTTACACCGTGAATTTATTAGATAGAAAACAAAAACCGATCACATTTGTCAAATTTTACCCACCTGATAGTTTTACAACGTGTAGAGGTATAACATTGTGTTCAATGCACAGATATAATTCGATATCAAAATTAGTTAAATAATAATGATAATTAATGGTAACGGTTTAATTTAATGAAATAAAAGACTAAAAGTCGTCCACTATAATTTACTAGCAATCTCACAATATATTTTACTATTGCATCAATAGTAATAGTGTAAACTGATACTAGAAACCGATGTATGAAAAATTAAGTGAACATATCGGTTTATTTTACCAACTACATACGAGAATATGAGGTTTATTAAATACAAACTGACAACCTCATCAAATGAAACATGTACCAACCACAACGATTTTTTACCTCATAGCGTAACAAATAGATAAAGAGGAAACAGTTGATGAACTAGAAAATGGCGGCAAAATAACAAAGATTAGTATATGATCTTGACTATAAATTCCAAAAAAGTCACCGGGAGTTAATTGACAAGAAATTTGATCTGAAAGTTTTCCTTCACTGAATAATTTTAATTTAGTTTTTTACTTTATACAAGCAGAATTAACAACTGTCCCGTGAAAACCTATGGGAATTTAACGTACTTGGAGTTAAACTACGATTTCGGATTAATCGGTCATTTAATTCAGAAAGAAAGATTGGAATACTATCTTCCATTAACACATCTGCAATCTTTCGAGGATAAGTGGTAGACGGCTGCAAGAATGAAGACTTAGGTGTAGACTCTGTTTGACTGATTGATTTTCAAGTACAATAATGTACTGCAAGGAACAAGTGGCAATCTGAATAGGTGAGAGGTAACGTCTCAGAATACATTATCTACTGACAGTTATAGCTTTAGATAGATGTCTGTAACTTTACTTGCCTTACGAAATCTCACTTGGAAAAATGACGTAATTACAAAAATAAGCATAATAACAAATATCTCGACATAGGGAATGAAAACTCGAAAAAGTAAAATTATTGAAATAATAATTATTAAACGTAACGAAATATAACATCTGTGAATTGTTGTTGAAATATGCGAATAGTAAACGAGATATATGAGAGGACAGAATAGAAACCTAGCACGAACACCTATTAAGTTTTATGTGACCACGGAAGAATCTAAGGCATGAGAAACTATTTTTGAATACAGAAACTAGAGTTGTCAGTTAAAAGCCCTATAGCTTTTCCCACATATAAGAGATGAAATCGAATCGAACTAGGAAAATTTGAAGGAAGCTTGATAAATCGTTTGGAAAGGTATGATTACATCTACCATATGATTACAACAGAACAAGTGTAATAAAACAGAACTATGTTAACTTAATTTGACCACTTTTAGACGACGAAGATAGATGAATAATCATTGGCTAGGTTGCTCGGCAGTATACTTGAAACAGCTCTCTCCAAGGGAGCAGTTGGACCAATTAATATATGTCGAAGTGACGAAACCAGGTTTCTTATTCTTCCGCTGAACAACCACCACTGGTCGACTAGAAACTGGCAAAAATACATACTTCTACTGACCGACCCATCTGCTTGTCTGATTAAGGAAGCCTTAAAGAAATGAAACTAAGTATCACTCTGTTTTTCATAAATGAAATCGATTACTGAGTGTATACTGATAAATTGCCTTGGGAGATTCTCTACTAATTTTCTGATCGAAGATTGTGAATGTATCGATTTTGGCATCCCCTTGATGTTCATTTTCCATTTTAAGGGGAGAAATCGATAAGTCATAAAGATGGATTAAATAGTTATTCCATTAAAGATAAAACAGATCATTATTGTACACTTTGAAAATAATCTCTTAAGAATGTCTTCGGAAATTTCAATACCAATCTATTTTTTAATATTTGCTGAGATATGAATTCAATTTTCGCAATTAAGTGGTACATTGATGAACAAGAAAGGGTTATCTATAATTGATTGATCACTGGGTGGTGACCAATGTCATGCGTGTCTAGTCCTTATTATTAGTGCAGATCGAATGCTATCGACCATGTTGCAATGTGGCCACCAATTTAGGTGACTCGACACTGCGGGCACTATTGTGAGATTAGATAGTGGTTGGAGGTAGTCGACAGGAAACCCTGGACCCGGATAGCTCAGTGGTAACGTCTCTGACTGTGAAGCTGGGTGATACGGGATCGAATCCGCCGGGAAGCACCAGGCCCCTCAAGGATTACAGGTACACCTTGCTGACGAGTGTCAAGTAGCACGAAACCCGGGTCCAGAGTTCCCTGTCGACTACCTCCAACCACCATCTAAGGGTTATCCATAAATATTAAAAGTTTCGTGCTGATAATAATATTACTCACATTGGGAAAAAGGTTGAAAGCATAAAAAAACACCTCTTTTATTATTATCAATCACTCATAAATTGCCTTCATTGGTTTAATATTTTTCATAAATGCGTGTACACATTACTATGCATTAGAGGGAATGCTGATGGCGATTTAACTAAAAACAATATTATCTGGATTTGTCATATTATTGTACACGTGATTTCTCAATATTTGAAATTAATTGAGGTATGTAAAAAAAGCCACTCACGTTGAGTAATCTGGAGTTAATTCACTTAAGTTATCACTAGAGGAATTTATCTCGATATTAATTAACTGCTGGTGTGAAATATTGTCTATTTTATGAGGCTTTCTCAGCGTGAATAATAATAAAATTCCAAAAACAGCACATCCCAACAATCCACCATAAAGCTGAATACGCAATGTGCGAGAGATTTCATCTATATTCGATAATGATAGGTAAGCATACAAACCACCAACTATTTGGCTGAATTAAAAAAAAACACATACATTAGATTTTATTTTTAGACAAATAATAGGACAAGATAATCATTCAAGTGTGTTTGTGAACTGGGTACTTTCAATCTTAATTAAAATGAACTGGAGAATGACTGAGAAATAAGGTGCATAGATCAACCGATGTATGTTATTGAAATTTAGTAGTATCTAAACAGGAATCATTGATTCAAAGTCACGAGTTACGTCCCATCAAGAGCACGATAACGGTGATAACAAGTGGTTGACGTTCATCATATTTGAAACTGTTCAGCTAGATATACTTAATGTAGTGGACTAAGGTTTCCACTGATACTCACATCTTTCGCTTCATATTTCAGAGAATTGTTAAATATAAAGTAGAACTAAGCCTTATTTGACGGGTACCAGTTTTGATTAATATAGATATTTTAGAGGATTAGTCAGCTAGTCTCCAAAACATTTCAACAAGGAATTTGTGAGTTTGACTTACCAGAAGTAACTACATTGTATGGTTGAACCAGATTATTTTGTTCATATAACGTAATATTTAATATCACATTTTATCCATAATATTGAGGGAACTATCCGTGAGAAGGCTCTATATAAAGATATCTCAGGCAGGCTGAGGGAATACAACCACCTCTCACCATTATTTTATTCCAGTAGTGAGGTTAGGCAGAGTTGCTCAATCTCCATTTCTCTTTCTTATCGATGAGATTTTGGAGACAGTTCTGATGGAAGTAGTTAATGGTGTGGAACTGTTACCTGGAGAAGGAGTATTTGGACGATATTGTTTTATCATTCAATAATACTCAAGCCATGCAATCCGCACTTAATCAGTTGGTAATGACTGTTCGTATGTATACCATGTGCTGAGTACATGCTTTAAGTACTTTTTAGTAAGCCCATTCAACTATTGTATTATTTATCTGCTCACTGTAATTTAGACACTTGATCCACCATATAATTTTCTGTGTGTCTGATTGAGCACATGTCAATTTTTAATCTATTCTTCCATTGGTTGTAATACACAGACAATCAATAATTTATCCATAGTTGATTAACACTCATAAAATATATATGGATTTCTAACACTCACACACACTCTTGGTTTCCCTGTGTGCTTGCTTCCTGTACGCTTGCGGATTATACCAATCTTTAACAATAAACTATCTCTATAACTGGTGTTCAGGCTTTTGAATAATCTCGAGTAAATCTATAATTCTGCTAGGAGATTTAGCCTGCATTAAATATTCGGTTAACGGGATGCTATTTATTGGAGTCAGATATAGGGGAAATTAGTCTCTAAAACTTTTACAAAACTGGTGAGGCACTGTGAATGCACACACTTGGTATTAAGCCATTAGAAATATTGGAGAAGTTCGTACGTTCATGTAACTATGGACATGTTGGTGGTGGCGTGAGGAGTAAGATCAAATGACGTATCCTGAAAACCAGAACGGCTCATACCGTGTCTGTAAAAGGTTGAGTGGAAGCAGTTTTGCTCTACGCTTGTGAAATCTGGCCACTCCAAGTTGAGGATTTTAAATGACTCTCTGTACTCGATCTTTTTTTTCGGAGGATTACTGGGATTTAGTGGAAACACTATATTAGTAATGCGGCGGTTCAGAAACGCGTATTTGGGCAGTGACGATAATGAAGTTAGTGTCACCATCTTGAAACACCGACTTCGATGACTTGGACATATACTAGGAATGTCATGCCGGTGAATTTTACATTACCTATTATTTACCGACGCTGGGATTGGCTGGAAAAAGCGGAGAATCGGTTGATTTATAAAGTGTCAGGGTATGAAAGAAAGCTGAATCTAACTGAAAAAATGTACAGACTGTGAACGATATTTTCTGAGGCTAGAAAGCGAGTGGTAAACTTACCAAGAGAACGATATCACCAAGTACATGACTGAGTATTAAGCGTATCACCCACCTGTTGAATTCGAAGAAGACAGAGCACTGTTCAAACACGGAACTAAATGACTGAAAGCATAAGTAGGTTTGCAATGATACGTTTAAATTGACAAGATAGAATTTCGTAGGAAATCACAGACACAATAATAACATAACTTTAATGTTCGCCTATCTTGCAAAAAGGAAATAACCACAAGAATGAATAAAATCACTTACTTAGCTTGAAATAATCCCCAGAACAGACTGAAATGTTGATTTAAATTAGATTTGGTAGAACAATCGGTAATGAATGCACCTTGAGCAGTCCACAACACTAAACAGAGGAATCAAGCATACCATTTAATAGATAATTCCAACTCAAAAGTTTACCTGCTGCACCGATTCCATTTACCAACGATGCTAAATACAAGCTCCACTCAAAGGGTTCAATATATGAAGCAATGTATAAACTGAAAGAAAATGACATCTTTGAAAACCTACGCATAACAAAATGAACCAGCGATCATAGAATATTTTTCTCCCAGATACATCACAACAATTGGTGCAAACCAGTTGAATAAGCCAAATGAGATATACACTATTGCTAAGCTGTAACAATACTTATACATAAAATGGCATTTACCTAGTGTAACCTGTGCCATCAAAACTGTTGTTACGCTGTTTTGAGACAGCTTCCAAAACATTTTGCTGTGAAACAGATGCAATCAAGTTACACGCACAGGAAAACAACTTACTGCAGTTAAGGAAGCTGTTTGAAACGCAGCAAAAAGAAAGAAAAACGCTAACCCAGTAATAGTTACATTGTAAATATTCAGATTAATATTCATGACAATAGAAATTAAGGTTCATTAAAGTTGTGTGACGATAATAGTCCGAGAAAAATGTTTCCTGCAAAACAAATATGAAAAAATAATTAATTTGTCTTATAAATAGCTCTGTGATGACTATGAATATGCTGTGATTCATATTGATACATCGGCAAAACTAAGATGAGGATCACAAATTTAATTTTTAAGGATAATTTGAGGGTAGGTTGAGATAAATCTTAAGGACCTAAAACACGGTGTTTATGTAAACGGTCATAATTACAAGCTTCTACTAATCTAATCCATTAAGTAGCAAGATGTTTGTTGTACTTTTAAAGTAGTCAGGTTTATATGTCATGGATTTTGACAGAATTTCCGAGCTTGGGCGTGTTAAATAAATTAAAATCAAAACTAGCTAACTCGTAGGAGTCCGTCAATTTCTTCTTCATCAGGTCAACTAAGTGAGGCAAAAGTAGTGAGCACGAAACTCTTGGATCATAGAAACCATTTACGAGAAAATACTCAGCATAGCTTACCTAAACAAAGTCACATCTAACCATATGTTGAAGTATCGGGAGACAGGTCAAATTCAACTGTACTGATCAACAACCCTGAGCATACTAGTTACTCAGACATAGGTGGACCTTAAAACTAGAATAGTATACTAAGACATCCCGAAGAACGGCTTTCATCAGGTCGCTAACAGCCTAATTTCCTAAGGCAAATCAGTGCAGGCGCAAGCGGTCGTGATTGAATATTTTTAATGGGAAATATACTCAATTAACCCACATAGTATTAAGCGACCTAGTAAAGATTGGAGGAGAGAAACAGAATGTTTACATACATAGCCGAGAGCTGCAAGCGTAAACTAGAACCCAGACTTCAGAGTGATGTATGTTTAAACAAATTTCCCAGGATTGGTTTTTGGCGAACAAACTAAGAATGATTATTTATCGATAATATCCGTTTTAAAATTCTGTCACAGCTTTCAACAACAATTTTCGGCCATACCTTGCAGTCATACCATATTAAGTATTAACTGAATGAGACAAGCGACAACTTTATATAAGTACATATCATGCCATACGATTAAATAAAATCGTATAATATATATATAATCGTATATAGTATGTATATATACGTACCCGCGAGCTCCCAAGTTTGGGAAATTTCCCCAGGTCTGAGGAAATTTGGTGGTTTTTGTGCCATTACCCCAAAATTTCCTTAAAGTTTACTATAGTGGCTTTCCCAGAATGGGTCAAATTTTCCCCGAAATTGGGAGCTCGGGTATAATAAGTATATTTAATGTCGTCCGTAACAATGCAAAACATCAGGTTTTGTGTGACAAGTAAGTATTCAGTTAGCGACTTGACTATTTCTTATGGCTGGAGGTGAATAGTCTACAAGTCAGAAACAGAAAAAACAAACATGAAAAACATCTATAAACGTTTACGTTCCGAAACCAATCAAAAGTGAGACGTTTATAATTTCAAAATCCAATGCCATTGAGTTGAAGAGCTGTAAACCAGTTGATTTATTTGAACACCTATCTTGATGTTAAGACAAAGTTTCAACTCAATGATATCATTCAATGTAGGTAGTCTAGCTACTCAGTTTCAACAACTTTCATCAACTTGGTAATTAATTTTTGGTTATCTAATTTATCCAAAATCTATGTGACTAGTTTGCCTAAGCCGATCTATATGTCTGAAAAAGACAACCTCGTGCTCCAAATTTTCTGTTCCACGATCTGAATTAAGACCTATTCAATCACTAGGCTGGGTTCTTCTATCAATAAAACAGCACGTATCTGCCGCTCGAAAAACATTCACATTGGTAGGAACTCATGGTGAAAAAAGTGAATGCGTACGTGCGCGTTTGCGCCTCGATGATCAGTTTTCCTTGGATTGCTTCGTAGAGCGCAGTGGTGAGTTCCTGCCGGGATGTTCGTGGTTAAGTAACTTTTTATATATAATATACTGTCTGCCACTTTTATATCACCTTTTTTCTCCTTTAGCTCAACGAGAATAATCACAAGTATCGGGATCCGTATTCGTCAAATGTGTTTCCAAACCGAGCCATCATTTGGTTACTCGTTTCTCTACTTGGTCTAAAGGATGCGTGTCTATCTCTAAGAGAGCGAACTAATGAGGAAGTGGGCTTTGTAATGAGGCTGAGTACGCTTTAAAGAGTATCAGAACGAGTTTCGTGGTGACAACACCAAGTTGTCGTCGTCAAAGTGGTCGAGCTGTTTGCATTGAAGTAGCACGAGCAGAACTTTGGTAACTCTACCAGTTTGCAGTTGGGCTTTGTGGCAGCTTTAAAGTGACTGTTGATGTAAACCGTTACTCCTATTTTATGTTTCATGTCACATTTGGAGAATGTTCACTCCATCGCCAGTGGCATAAGGAAGAAGTGGGCTTCAGTTAACATTAAGATTTTCAGCTTTATCTGAGAATTAATGTTCTTAAGTCCCATTTTTCTGCTTCCAAGTCACCTTATGTTATTGTACAGTCACCATTAATCACCAAGCTCGTGGTTTCTTCGTGGCGATGTCCGTTCACAAAGCCATATATAGGGTGAGGATTCGCCAGTTCTCATGTTTGACCAGTTTGTCTTGTGTATCGCCAGATTATGTTACAACCACTACCGTAATTCTTTGTCATCTACGTGAGGTTCGTCTGAGCTACATTATGGTTACTCTGGGACCGCATACATCACCATGACATTGATCTCTTAGGTGATTTCGTTTAGTTTCAATGCGATTCCTCGTGCCGACTTTAGTTTATCATGCTTACCTCCAATTGCCGAAGGTTGTTTATTTGTTGATTCCAGCCCTACTCTTAATTGGGGAGGGGTTACGTTCTGGCATTTTAACCGCGGTGAAAATACCAGAGTTTAGCTTGGATTATGACAACGTCAAACAAAAAGCATTAGTAATCACATGGTTATTTTTGAAGGCATTCACACTCTCCAGTAAACTATCCTCAGAAATCACAAACAAAGAGAATTTAAGGATTTGACCTAGAGTTCTGTGGTTTACTCCTAATCTTTAAATTATTGCTCATTATGTGACTGCTGTTGATATCTTATGTTCCCTCTGAAGTTTCACGTCCAGTGAATATATTTGTGGAAGGAGTGATGATGCGTTGATTATTTGCTGTATCCATATGATTTTTCCGTAGGGATAGCCTCGCGTGACTAATAAAGTGGGTGTGAAACCGTTGTGCTCCATTGGTTCAACGGACGAGACCTTGTGTTTTTTGATTTGGTGGCTGAGTGCACCCTGAAACCTAAACAATAGTAATAAAAGACGGACATGGATGGGTCATCATAAATCTGTGGTATACCCTGGGTACCACAGTGTTGTTATAGAAGTAGATTTAGCTACTGCGAAGACTTCGCTTATATTAAAACTAATGAACACCACATAAATCAACCATTGCTGTTGTGTCCCTCTTTCAATGCACTTGATGTTTTCAGGGACTTACATTTGAATGCCTTTTTTCGTTCTTCAGCTGATGGACTACAATATTAAAAAGAGGTCAAGTCAAACAAATGTCCTTGTCTTCCTATGAAAAGGTACCTAAATTGTGTTGTTATTATTTCCCATGAAGTGTATTTTTCAGTTTTGGCTCGGGATGTTTTTTAAATTCTAGGGTCAGAAACTGGGTTTGTGAGTTATTTTTTCTTGACAGAGCTTCAAGAAGTTATCTCTCGCTACTAATATATTCGTGTCGAAAGTTGATGGGGAAAGGCAATGTAAATAACTCCTACCGAATGCCAAAACCAGAGCAAATGGATGAAGCAAATTTATTCTTCAGAAATCACTGACAAAATAAAGGTTATTTGGCGAAAGCGCCAGCTTCCATTATCTAAAGTTCAACAATGAGAACGCGTATCATCCACATTTCCTTTGGATATTTTCACTTGCCCTGTGTTCCAATCAGGGATTTTGAAAATACCGGAAACGATACGAAGCACAAATTTGAAGATATTGGCTCCAAGGAATGAAACTTGAATAAGCGGAATGATAGCAAACGTCTGACCCCTTGAGAGATAGTGTGTGGGAATTCTCAGAACGTGCAAACAAAATTCAAGCTAACTTTTGTACCCAAGTAGGGTTACAATGGGTTGAATGAAAGCGCAGTTTTGTGCACTCTTCCGTTAATTTAGTGTGTTAGCGTTGCATATGAATACAAATTTAATTCAATTTGCTTTCTTTTATTCATTTAGAGCTATTTATGTGCTTATAATGAACATACTGCTTTAGCGCGTCCTAACTTTCCGGTCAGAGGAAAGCAAATAAAGTAAAATTAGATCCTGTAATGGAATAATTAGTGAAAAGTATGGTTTCACACGCAGTAATTACTCACTTACTGAATGGTTAGATGTTAGACTTTGGACATATATTTAATATTTAAAAATGGATGGGATGATGATTCATATTCATGTACCTCATCCATGTTGGTGTTAGATTTCCGGATAGATTAGACTTTTATGCTTGTACTGATGTAGGTGTTTGACATTTTGGATTTTATGAGATTTGCAAAATAATTAGTCTATTTATAAATTAGTGAAACTATGATAAGTAGAAGTATTTGAGTTAAAGTATGAACTAAGAACCCCAGAAATAAAGTATTTGGATCAATGAGTACAAGATAAGCACTGTATCTGGAATTCGAAATCAAGCATTCAAAAAGTACAAAGGAATCATTAGTTCATTCAAACACCACAGGAACTATTATAAGTAGTCATATAATGGTCTCAGCACATGTCATTAATTTCATCTTTCCAGAATTACAAATAAAATAAATCCGATCACAGATTACCGCAAGTACGAGTCTTGTTGTGAGGATGTCACGAATATTTAGATTTAAAGATATATTTGGGTAGCGATCAATGTATCGATGTTCATGCAATCCAAGTTGACTGTTTGTCGCGAGATTTGTGCAATGGGATGTGCCTAAACATGATCTCGTGCAGATACGCGATCGAGCGCCTTCAGTCAAGGGTGTGACCTGTAAAACCAATATGGCCAGCACTAATATTGAAAACTTATAATGTCTTTATTTTGGAGACTTATTTACCGCTCCAGTTGTCTTGTAGATATGCCTGGAATTCACTGCGAAGACCCCTAGCCTGTTCAACGAAAATAAGTTTATGGTTAAACTAGGAACGTGACTAATTTCAATTCCATGGACAAGTGAAAAGAATTTAAATATATTAGGCGAACTTTGTATGCATTTAAGACAAATATTTCTACCCTATATCCTTGTCAGAGGTTTCATATTACGTCAGTAGTTGCAATTCTTGAACGCTTGCTCTGTTTCAGTCAACAAATACTTCACGAGAGTTTTTTCATAGGGTCACACGCTTTCAGAGCCCTGTGTAAAGGATCTGAGTTTGGTAACGTTGAATATTTCTTACCAATGAAGATTTTCAGAAATAAATTCAAGTTTTCTGGCTTCAAAAATCAATACTTTGAAGATGCCACAGGTATTTGGAATTTGACAACGCTTTAACCAGTAACATCTTCTAATATGAAGCGCACCCATCAAGTAAAATCAAAAGACAGAAGCGACGAGATCGAAGATATATTTGATAAGCTATCAATATATCGAGGATTGTTTGAACTAATCTGGCTAGCGACTGTGGCAGATGTTGAGCACAGCGTTCCCACACGTGATCTATTGCGGATGCTTGACTGAGCGCTTTCAGCTAGATGAGTCCAATAAAACTGTTGTCAGCATCCAATGTCGGAAACTTACAGAGCTATTTATTTTTGAGATTTATTTACCGCTACAATATATATAAAGGATTCGGGTCTTCTAGTATAAGTAGTAATGGTAATGAATGTAATATTTGAACTAGTAATCCCCAGGATTTTTACAAAATATACTCTAATAGTCAAAAGTCCCATCATTATTCAGGTGAAAACTAAGACCACTTACACATGTGAATTTATTGAATTGAAGTTAGAATCACGCGTGCAATAATATAAAAAGTTATCTTCGTTGGTTACAGACGTCGGTCAGATTGCATAAATATCAACAAAGTTATTTTCCTAAAGGTGAAATGCCAGATGAATTATTGAAGACGGGAAGTAAATATGAAAGTACATCAAATTTAAGCAGTAATCAATTCGGGAAGTGTACTGTCAAGAGAAATTCAATATCATATTTCGAACAAAGTTTTTTAAATCAACAGTATGTATAAGGGGCATAAATTAATTCAGATTTTGAAAATAGGAAAATTAACCAACTAGCTTACTTACTTACGCCTGTTTGTTCTCTCCCACAGTAAGTTGTTGCTGATGGTATCCGGCCAATGGGTGTTGAGTATGGTTATACTAGTTCTCCAAGTTTTAGCTCCGTATGGTCGAAATGTCTTGACGTTCTTATTGAAGATTCTGACTTTGATGTTGGTTGAAAGTTGTTTTGATTTCCATATGTTCTTTAATTGAAGGAATGCTACCCTTGCCTTGCCGGTCCTCGCTTTTACGTCTGCA